ATATATACTCACAAACACACACATACATAAAACAGATTTCATGGAACAATCTTCAGTCTGTCCAATGCACTTTGATGTTATTATTCTGTTCTATTCCCTTCCATTCCACTTTATTACATAAATTGCTCTTTTACAATCCTGTAATTTGATCCTATGATCCACTGATGTGTCTCAACAACACAATTTGAAAATTATTACTAAGGCCATCCCGTCTCACTAGTGATCATAAAACCCTAAGGTTTTATGATTGTGTTCWAGAATGTTCTCTTCTTAAGACCCAAATGGCAAATATTTCTGCTTCCATCTTAAAAGGCACTACACAAAATAAAATAATTATTAAATATTTCCCTTAATAACTTCACAGTGGAGAGCCCACTGGAGCACATCAAGTGAGTATAAATGCCAATTAATGAGAATCAGTCTGTTTACTACCTACCTGATAGGCTTGACACCATTATTGTTTTGGCTGTTATGAATAATTTTTTTCCATTTGCCTCATCAGATCCATAATATATTTATTTGATAAAAAATTTAATATGATGCATCGTGATTACCTCTAATACAAAAAAAAAMCAATTCATAAGAGAAAATAAAATTTTAAATATCATCCAATTTACTTTTTGTTTACTGGGATTAAACTACTCACTGCTACAATGTGTATTTTTGAGAAGTGCCTACATGTAATAATGTAAAGGTTCTTTTTGACTGTAATAGAGAAACAAAAAATAAAAACTATCAATATAAATCAACTGATTTTTTTTTTTGGGGGGGGAGTGGATACTAGGGATTCAACACAGGGGCATTTTACCACTGAGAGAAATCCCTAGCCCTTTTTATTTTCTATTTTGAGACAGGCTTGCTAAGTTGCTGAGGCTTGCCTCCAACTTGTGATCCTCCTACTTCACCTCCTGATTTCTGGGATTACGGGCATGTGCCACCATGCCCAGCCCAACTGATATTTTAAAAWAAAAAAATATAAGATTATTAGATCATAACATTAGTTTCAGTACATTTTTTATTGCATAGTACATTATTAAAATTTTAATCAAAATATTAATGCACACTTGGCATATCAAGACTGAACAATAGGATTTTGTCAATAAATGTGCCTTTATTTGCATATTTACAGTGAAAATCACCTTTCTCTCTGCCCCTCCCTCCWTTCCTCCCTACTTCTCTCCCTTTCTTTATCTCCCTGTGTTTTTGTACAAAGAGGTTGGGTAGCCTGTACTGTACCTTTTGAAAGATACATAAACCATTTTTTAAAAATTCATTTACAAAAATGATGATGGTTCTAATCCTATATAACATACCCTATAGAATTGCCAATGCAAAATGTAGTTCGATGACACATGTACCTACAGGTTTTGGACTTTGGTGGGTTTAAGCCCATAGTTGATGGGATTTTCCCCCATTCACTGTGTCTTTGTATGTACGTGGAATGTTTTTCTCCATAAGCAGTTAACAGTTTCTAATGTTGGTACTTCATTTTCCGGAATGATTGCCCATCTCCCTCAGGTGCTCAGCAGGGGACCCCAGATAACTTCTGTTAATGCTGCAAAGAATGCTGCATCTTAAGTTAGTTCAAAACCTGCTCCCAAATTTAGTGTAAGTCTGTTTGGCTATTTCTTTTGTGATTTTTAACAGCCAATCATTTTATTTTAGTTATATTTAAGATCATGGGCATTATTAGGAAATATACAAATGGATTAAATAAATTGATCTTAAATAATATACTTATCTAATGTTTTAAACTTAAGATTATTTCTGTTTTGTCTTAGATAATTAAAAAGTAACGAAATGATTAAAAAAATTCTGTCCATGTTCTTGTGATTGGGTGTTACTATTCAAGAGTTTGAGTATCAAAAGTTGGACTACACTTTAAAATATTGTTTACTTTTTAGTGAAGAAGCACTGTGGATTAATTTACCAGTACTGCTGTAACAAAGTGTCACAGACTAGGTAAAGTAACAACAGAAGTTTTAGTCCCACAATTCTGGATGCTAGAACAAGAATGAAGGTGTCAATAGAGATGAATTTTTCTGGAAGCTGCTTTCATTGCACCTCGACAGCTATTTTCTCTCTGTTGTCTTCACATGATTCATTCTCTATGTCTGGGTCCTCATCTCTTTTTATATGGATGCTGGTCATATCAGAGAAGGACCCACCCTTTGTTTTGTCTTAATTACCTCTTCAAAAAGGCAACACATTCTGAAGTCCTGGGAGTTAGGACTTCAACATGTGAATTTTGTGGGGACACAATCCATTCCATAATATTTTCACATCGTTAATGAGCATACATGTCATGCTTACTTAGGTAAATGACACAAATGCTGAAGGGTGAAACTGAGCCAGCACCCTACATGTCAAGATTCCAGAATAATGTTGGAATTCAGGGCCTGGCCTGGGATAGCATGTCCCTCCAGGTATCCTCTGGGACTGAGGTGTGTGCTAGTGATTGCCATCAAGCCAATGAGGAAAGTACCTATGTTTGCATCGMTTTCTAGATTAAACAGAGATGAAAAGACAATGAAACATGAGCAAAAGAAGTCACATCAGCCATAAGTCACATTCTTTCCAATTGGTAGTAAAGAGGATTACACTTTGTCCTTGATTGACTGTCATGTTTTGTTTTCATGTTAATCATATTTACCGATTTTGTACCCAAATAATTTAGTCAATAATTCACATAAAAATCAAGAGATTTTCAATTTGTCAAAGTATTCTTTTCCTTTGGTAAGTGAAAAAATCCAGAAGGGTTTTGTAGTTGGGGACAATAGGCTAAATCAATGCAGAAGAATTTAAAACTGCTAATTGAAGCATTAAGTGTCTGTCAGTGTTCTGGTGATTTGGGGCTGAAATCCGCTCTCTTCTTTATTTTCCTTTGTCAGCGGTGTTCACCATGGTAACTTCAATAAAAGTCCCCTCATGACTGTTTTTCTTCTAAAGTGCCAAGCACCTTTTTAAAGTAGGCTGACAACCTGGTAGGAGTGGGTGTTGGAAAATAAATGACAAATATTCTGCTTTCTTCATGATTGGTGTGGGCGGCAGCGGGTGAGGAAATTATTGAGAATATAAGAATAAAGAAAACATTTTATATTGTTTGGGGATAAAAATTAATTTGTTGGTTTTTTTTGGGGGGTAAAAAAATGAATTCAAATATTCTATTTCTGATCTTAAAACAGGAACGATATTTGTCAATAGAAATTCACGAACAAATATGGAGTATGGAGAGATCTTGCTGAAACTTAATTCAGTAAATTCTGCTTGGGTCCAGATTCAACTTTCTTGGGGTCACATGGGAAAATTTTATTAAAGTGGAACTTTGCACACACCATCAAATTCCCCTGCCCCCCTCTAATTCTTCCTCCTAATGTGGAGGTGGCTGGAGCCCAGGGTTCTTAGTCACATATTAGCATCAACTAGGGATTATTATGAAAATGCCAGTGCCATGGCCCTACCCATAAATTATGATTTATTGGTCTGGGTTGACACTCAAATATAAAGAGGTTTTATTTGTTTTTTTTTTTAAGCATTAAGTCACTTGTAATATCTAGCCAGAATTGAGAATTATATTCATCGATATCAGCGGTTGCTTCAAATTCTACCATTCTAAGTCATTTGTCTACAAATTGACTTCATTGGGCTGGGCATACCTGTAAAATATCTTTGCTTTCATAATTATTTATTTTTCTGTACAGGACTCAAGAAAGATAAGCATTAGCTTTTCATTTAAGGAATTTAGCATTGTTATTCTTCTTTATCCCACTGAATACTCACAATAAGCCCTACAGTTAATGTCAGTGTTTACTGTAGAAGCAATGGTTTTATTTCTAAAACATTAGTTTTCAGTTTATTGCTTAAAGGTTGATTAAAAGGCTAAACTTGATCCAATAGAATATATTTTTTATGTGTGTAGAAATGGCGAAGATAGAACTAACAGTTTCACTCTCTAGTGACTATAAAACTGTTGACAGGTAGATAAGTTTTCACGTTAGTATTTTAGATTTTTATTTTAGATTTTTATTCTTGACAGCAGTTTAGAATTGCCTGGGAAGGTCTCTAAAAGTCCTCATATCCAGGGTGTGTGCTAAACCAAATCAGAATTGCTATACCAGGCACCAGTTGTATTTGTTGTTGTTGTTGTTGTTGTTGTTGTTGTTGTTTAATTCCAAGGCAATATTCTGAAAATCTGAGCCAAGCCAAGGTTGAGAATTTCTTGTTCTAGAATGAAATCCTGTGGACAAACTGTATTGAGCCAATGACAAAAAGCTAAGAGCAGGTTCACCATCACCTTGATTACAAAATAGCACCTTTCATGTCCCTGTGGATAACATCATATAACACCGTGGGAGTACATATTCTCCTTTGGCTAAAATTTCCATAGTGAGGAAAGTCTTCTGTTCATTCAAGTGTTCTGAATTACTAGTCTACAACCATTTTTTTTCTGAATATAGCAAATGAAATGTTTCCTTCTTCAGCTGATGAATAAAATCTAGGCCAGTCTTTTCACAGGCCCCTTTCAAGATGATTGAAACAGTAAGTAAAAGGAGAAGAATATACAGAATTTTTTTTAGGATATAAATTTGTTTGGTCAAATGACAAATTAAAAAGCCTCAGTGAAGTATGTCTTTTAAGTTTCCGGTTGATTGCTTGCTGGTAAGTGAAGATGCATCTCTGCATGGGTCCCGTCCACTGCAGTGTAGATTGCAACATTCACTGTAACGTAAAGAGCCCAAAGCCTCAATACTGTGGCATGAAATGTATGCTTAATTGTCATTCTGCAGCTTGGTTCTGGTATGTCCCCAAAGCCTATAAATCATTATCAAACAAGAAAATCAAGTAAACAAGCTCTCTGCCCTGAATCTGATCTATACTATCATCCTCCAGCATAAAAAGGTATTCACTCAGATGGCTAGTTAAATTCTTTAATAATGAACTTGGATCAGAGAAATGATTTGCTAATGCTTTTACAAACAAAGGGAGTAGGAGAGCTGATTTCCTTCTAATCACACATGCCAAATCCACTTGTTTTCAATGGCTTGGACAGAAAGCCAAAGCTTGGAAATTGATGATAAAAGTATTAATAGAAGTAAGTTTTTTTTTTTTTTAAGTTTCCTTCACAAATTGCATCTGAGYTCTTTTTCCTGAAATGACCGACATGCTGCAAATACAATAAATTATGGTCAGTTGCCTTTTATTTTTAAAAATCGCACAAAACAAGCAGTTATTTAGAATGAAATAGTAGGTTTAATATTCATAAACTTGAGAAAGAACTTGAATTGAAATTCAATCTGGGGTCTGAATTAGCACCATCTGTATATAGAAAGAATTCGATATATGGGCACAAATTAGTTGTATTAATATATATAGGTAAAACAGATTTGTTTGAGTAGATATACTTGTTTTTATGGATGCTTCTGGGATTTGAACTTATTTTTATTAGTCAGCTGGGCATGATACAGGTTGCACACCCCTTAGTTCTAARGCCTTGGCAAAATTAACCTCCAATGGCTTCCCGGTGCCTTTGGTGAGCCTCAGGGATCGAATGCAACCTCGGAATCTAATGTTGGTTGTCAGGCCAAACTGGTTGAGGCCAGCTGAAAGACAAAAACAAGAGAGTTTAGGATTTTTATTTTGTTTTTGGCTTTTCGGGATGAAACCTAGAGCTTCCCACATGCTGACCAGCTCTTCCACTAAGCTACATCTCTAGCCCTGAGGRTTCAGTTTAGAAATGTTGCTGCATTAAATACTAAGAACTTCTTTCAAAGTCAACAGTTAGTTTAAGAATAAATTGGAACACTGTCTTGTATAAGGTAAGGCATTTTTTTTTTTTTTTTGGTTTACTGAATCTATAGAGAAATACCAACTTTTGAAATATGGAAACATCTGGGATTATGCATTTGAAGACATCAAACAAATAATGTGGATTGGAATGAAAACATTTACAGTGGTGACTTAAAACTATAAAGTTTTACTTAATGAAACAAAGCAACATCAAATATTTCAAATATTGAATCAGGATATGGGTTGGTTTTAAAAGGTGACTTTATCACTTCTTATATTGGAAAAATAAATCTCAAAATGTTCAGTAAGTTGCAAGCACACATAAAATTTTCTTCTCTTTATTAAGGAGGGCCATCTGTCGGCAGGCTGACTTGGTGCTAACTGGGACCTTATTCCATGACTGTGAATGGAAAAGAGGGTTTATCTTTGTTGAAGAAGTAGGTCTTTTTTAAAATCCAGAATCAAGTTGGAAAGGGGAGCTCTCAACTAGTCCTCGTTTACTTTTATATCTTTTGCTTTGTCGACTACTACTGAAAACTATAAATTGTGTATGTTGTGCAAAGGAGATTGATGTAAATGTGGACAAAAGTTCCTCTTGCCAAAATGATGAAAGACCATTCTAGGGGTYTGTGTTATTATAGTACTTATTAAGGGGGGAACTGGGCTTATTTCTCATGAAGTGGAGGACTCTTGCTTATGGACACTTTAGGCAACTCTCTGTGGTTCACAGGCTATATTTAATGTCCTGGAGAAAGATTTTGAATGCAGATTTATTGCTTGGGTTTCTCTGTAAGATAAATATAAACTCTATAATAACCTAAGGGGGAAATTAGCTGTATTTAACCCAATGATTTCCAGAACTTGAGGAAATAAGTTCCACAACATTTTATGATCCCTCTGGTATATTAATTTTAAAACAAAATCAGAAAGAACACCAACTCTGGCCTCAATTGCTATTAAATGCTTCATATCTTTTATAAGTCAAACTCATTTCCTCTAGGTTTCACTTCTTCTTGGATGAAACTTTGGGGACCATTGTGAAAAGTTCAGTCCCATGTGTTCTATATAAGTAATATGCTCATTTTATAGACTGGAAATTTGAGGTAAAGTGTTATATTTGTGAGGGGATTCTTAAAGTTAAGAAGCAAGTGTCCTTAGGCACACATTTTTGGACATGCCCATACAAATATAAATGTTTCAAAACCACAAACATAATAGTGCAAAGAAATTCTGACTGAAGTAGCCAATCATTACCTGGGAAACCTCCAACAAACACAGGGTCATTTGTATCAGCTGACGTAGATGCTGGGTTTGGGCTTTGGGCTTCCACCTGGTTCCCATCTACTGTGAGCTCAATGCGGTGTTTGATCTTGTTGGCTGTGACTCTGTGCCATCGTCCATCACACAAATATCCTGGGATCCCAGCATCGTAGACAGCAGTGAATTGGCCAGCACCATTGTCCACATGAAACATAAGCTAGAAAGTAGGAAAGTGAACAGTCCCAGATGGTTTCATTAGAGGGGAGTCATGACAGTTCACAGAGCAAAAATGATCAGGTCTCTAGGAAAGATGTCACCTGGAAGCATTTGAAGTGAACACAACTGGGACATATTAAACATATTTAAAAACTTGACAGAAATTAAAATATGAATCTGATCACCCAGAGTCACAAATTATGTTCTTTGCTTTTGGGCATCATTAGTATTAATAGACAAGGTGCATGAAGCTGGCTCTGTTTTCAGAAAAGTCTGAAATCAGGCATTTAAAAAAAAAAAAGGATATAGTATACACAGAAAAATAACCACACATTTTTTTAGAGTGTGAGAGTTCTCGGTGAACCTTATAAAACTTTCTTAAAAGATGTTGTTTAAAAAGTGATCTATTAATTGGTTTATAAATTCACTTTAAAGGATTTTAAAAAATTTAAACGCTTGATGTTTTAATTGTATTTGTTTTCCTTCATGGATTCTATTTTATATACAGGAATGAGTTACATAAATTACTTTTGGAGGCACGTTTCATGTCACAGGTGCCAAAGACCTGAGCCAGAAGGCCAGTTAAATTCCTAACAATGAAGAATTTAGATTAGAAGTTCTCATTTAAATGAGAAAAATCTGTTTTTAGTAATGCGGCAAGGACCCTGAAATTTGAGAAGTCAGAATTCTTTTGAAGCTGATGAAGAAAAGAAACATATTGAAATATTAAAAACAGTCAATTTGGCAATGCATTTGACAAGGTGAATGAAAAGAAATACAGTTTTGTAAAAAGATTAAAAGTGCAAGTAAATAGTAGGAAAGTTTATAAAATGTACAATGATGTAAATGTTGGCAAGGAGTTTGGTATACTGAGTGGAGTTTGTAATCACAGGATTTTGCATGTTGAAGGAACCTGATGAGAAACCACATGATAMATGGACACATCAATACTACCAAGGTTATGAGCAAGTGGTAAAGCTTAAAAAGGTGTAGAAAAAGTATGTTTACAAATTTGACAAAACTACTAAGGGTGGCTTATTTATTCATCCTTTTTTTTTTTTACCTATAAACTTCTAGATCTTTTTTTGTTTTGTTTTTTTGGTGGTTGTTGTTATGTTGCCTTTGTGGGTGGTTTGAAGACTGTGGAGAAGGAGAGAGGAGGCAAAGGAATATGTATTTTAAGTCACTATGTAATTTTTCTTCTTAGGAGGCCACAGCGTTTTAAGTGGGGGGTCATGGGGGTGTGCAATATATGTGCAGAGTTGAAGCTAATACCCAAATAGAAAACTTATGAGATGTCTTTCTTTGCCTCCTCTTTTTGCCAGATCCCCATAGTACAAAGTATATATAAACAGGTCATCTCACTGCAGGTTGTTGGTCATAAGCATGCAGGGACTAAAGGGGTGTTTAGAACTAGATTATCCACAGTCAGCAAACTGACAAAACACTTTTATAAGTTTGTTCTTTTTTTTTTTTAATAGTATCTGGATGCTTTTAGATAAAAAATTGAGAAACTGAAATGTTGCCCATTCTGTCTTCTAAGAGACGCCTACCCTTTAATAGGAGGTAGACTGATTATAGATGATCCAAACCTCTTCCTTTTGTTCCACTGGAATCAATAGCTCCATAGACCATGTTCATGGAGAGGAGAATAACAGAGTACTTAGGACAACATCGTAAGAGCTTGAGTTAAAAAATGATTTGGTCCATAAYTGGTCAATCCAGTCGCCTTGCTGTAGGCTTATCAAATTTAAAGTTTATACTGGCCTACAGAATATTTATGCTGAAAACACACAAATTGAGATAATCCAGAAGAATGGAAAAAGGCAATCAAGCTTTCTGACAATAAAGAAAATGTCAAGATTTCAAAATGGAGTTCCCAACACATGAACAATGATGTCATAAACAAAACAGTGTTTGGGTTGCTGTCACTCACCTTTTCATCAATCATTTCAATTCCCATCCCATCCATTTTTTGACTGCTGATTCCCAAAAGAACCCCAGTTGTTCTGGTTGTGCGGAACTCAAATTCTACAAGAAGGTCCAATCCCACTTTGAATCCACCAACTGTAAAATAAAGTGTTTTTTTTTAATGTGAATTAGAGTGTAGGCATTACTAATTTAAATTTGTATAGTGTATTGGTTTTACTAGATTTCAATTCATGCTACCTAACTGAGGCTGAAGTTCCAGACCTATCCCTCCACCACTGTGTTAGTATTATATTTTATAGTTTTAGCTTATTTTCTTGGCTGTCTTTCCTTCCAGAATGAGGGTATAGATTGTCTATATTGCTCAACATTTTATTCCTGGGCATATCAAAGTATCTAGCATATATTGGAAGTTTAATAGATATTTGTTGAATTAATGAATGAATGAACACACACTGAGATTGARTCAAAGAACCTTAAAGTTAGGTAGGATTATTGTGTAGAAGTCTGTCTGTTGGACTAAGTATTTCAAAGACTAATGAGTAAAATTTTATTGAGGCACTCTAAATGATACCACATGATCTGAAAGACTATACAAGTTACTAAATATTTCATTAATAAAGATAGAAACAGCAAATGTAATTTTTGATGAGAAGATTCTGGATGATAAATGGACTTTTCTAGTTCACTAGTTAACTCTTTTCTCTATAATTTTATATATTTGATCGATTGATTTATTTAGTCTTTTAACATGTATTCAAGGTARTTCTCATATAAACAAAGTGATTATTCTAGGCTACATGAACTGCATGACATATTAGGAAAGGACTCATGGAAAATTTCTGTATGTCTTCTATTTATTTAGACAAGGAAAAAATTCAGTGTATAACCACAACCATTGATAGTGAAGGGTGAAACCTGTTATGTGAAAGACTGTTCTGATAACCTGGATGGTTCTGGATGGGCAAAGGTGTATTTACAGCAGTTTTAAAAAGTCAAGGGTAGAAGAAGCTGAGTTATTTTGCAAAGTAAAACAGAAAGGGAAAAGTAAGAAGAGAAGGATGACATGGATCAGTTCAGCTAAGGACAGAGGGCGTGTAGAGGCCAATAAAAACTCTCCAGTGATTGGATGGCTGGCAAGCTTTAAAGAACAAAGAAGTCAAAGGTTAAATCGAAGTTGTGTTTTCCAGTTACGTAATCTCCTTGGACCACCAGGTCTTATGTAAATTGTACTGTGCTGTGTGGAGAAGATGAGAAATTGTTGAAACTTAGGGAAGTGATTAATTTTCTGGTCCAGTTTGAACCAGAACCAAAGGAGCTCTGCTGGATGGTAAATCATTCCATTAGCTACAGAGGCTGCATTGAAGCTTGCCATCACATCTGAAGGAGAGAATGCTAGCCATCTGAATTTGCAGAAGTCTTGGGAAAGTATTTGGATTTCCAGAGCACATGAAATTTGGGGTTTAACACAACCAATATTTGAGTATTTAACATGTGTTTTTCTGATTTCTGTTTCTGCATAGGTGATGTTTCCCACTTAGGCTTTGTGACAGGGTTCTAATCTTCCACCTCTCACAACTTTTGTATGGGAATGTCCCACCTGTCTTCTAAATCTTTACTTAGATGTGAATTCTTCCTTAAAACTTTCCTGATTTTTCAACCCAAATTAATCTTTCTTCTTATTATTTATAGAACTTTGCTTTTATAGTTTTGAATCATTTTTACTTGTCTGCTTGTGATTTTTGAGCAAATTATATCTTACGTATTGACAATATATTATTAAAGGAAGGAACTACATCTTATTAATTTCTGTTTCCCATAAAAATTTTCACATATTAGGTATTTATAATTTTTTAATGAATAAATACATGTGTCTATCAAAACCATGGTATTGCACATTCTATCTTAATGTATGTTAATGTGAGAGGGTTTTTTTTTTTTTTTGGTTGTTGTTGTTATTATTAAAGAGAAGTTAGTTTTAGTTTTTTCCCACTGTCAGTAAGAAATAAGCATAGGTATGTGTGCAGTGTGAATGTGTGTGTATATATCAAAAAATGGAGCCTGGCAAAGAATTGGAGAAGAAGAAAGAAAAATAGTGTCATATATCTAGAAAGGCAGACAGGGAAAACTGGAAGATACAGAAATCACATAGTGTAAACTTATGGAGCTTTTCTTCAGAATTACATTTATTTTACTGTTATTGGTCTTTATGAGGAACATAAAATAAAATCTCCAACCAATTTTTTATTGTATTTTTTCTATTAGTCCTTATCATAGTCAGATATGTGAATTTAAAAAAAATATTTTTAGTAGATACGTGAATTTTTAAGAGGCATTTTTTGTTAGTTCTAGAAATTCATTCAAGTTTCCACAAAGAGGATTAGTTTGGGATTCTGGGACTTTTACTTCTTGGTACAGGTAAGAAATTAGAATTTATACATAGTGAATATTCAACAGGAAGAAAAAAGAAGAGCCTCACCTGCTTTGGCAAAACCTGTCCCATCAAAATAGGTTCCTCTCTGAGCATTCGCAAAGCAGGTCCCGACATGGAAGCTAGAGGTMGGTTGTTCAAGATCAACAGGAGCTTCTTCCATGTGAAGATTCCTAATGCAGCCATCAATGCTGTAGGTCACCTAAACATTCAGGGCAGAAGAAACAAATGCCAAGTTTTAGCAGAATTTTGTCTTTATGTGCAGTATAATCATTTGTGGGATCCTTGGTGCATGCAGACCTGGGTCTGTTGTCTTAGAGCATTTGCCAGAGATGCCTGGGTCCGCATCACCCCAGGACTGCATGGCTTCTGAGAATCTTGTGTTGTGCTTCTCCATAGGTTATATCCAACAGGACTGTCTGCTTTTCTAAAGACTGCATACTATGTTGTATTATGTGACCATTGCTTTGAAAGAACTATGGGCTCTGCACAGGTATTGTAGCTTTTGATGTGTATTTTATGTTGCTGATTTCATGTTCCTATTAATAATTTATTAATCTCACTATATATACATTTTGTTGTGATCTATATCAAATTCTGTCTGAAATGGCAATTAGGTTTGCTTTAGTGCTTGTTTCTTTTGAAAATAATCAACTCAATGGTCCATCCCCTAAGAAAATACATACATTCATAAAACTCAGGAGTTTGCATGAAACATTTGGGCCTTGAGGAATTTGGAAATAACTCAATCACACTCTGCACATCCATCCATCCATCCATCTATCTATCTATCTATCTATCTATCTATCTATCTATCTATCTATCTTGTACTGGGGATTAAACTCAGAGGTATTTTATTTAGAATCAGGCTCTCACTGAGTTGCTGCTTAGTGCCTTACTATTGTAGAGGCTGACTTTGAACTTTGAACTTGYGATCCTCCTGTCTCAGCCTCCTGAGCCGCTGGGATTACAGGAGTGTGCCACTACACCCAGCTGCACTGTTATATTTAATCTGGTTTTAGGAATTCAAGTTAGTCACTTTTTGCTGTTATCACTTCAGAGACTCTTATTTTGATAGATGTTGGTAGCATATCTGACAGCTATGAAAAAAAGCAATCATTCACAAGAAAAGCCAAATGCTGAGAATTACAACTGCAAAGGGCAATTGTCTTTGACAAATGAATAAAGCTATCATGTGCTCTAATTTGACTGTAGAAATGTATCACACTTGTATCTAGTGCATTCTCTAAAAACAATGACCCCCTGTGTTGCTCAGAATTACATTTTTTCAAAGTAAACCAGGATTCAAGGTCTGAGAAAAAATTATTTTGTGAATATTGATTCATAAAATTGTGAGGACTTTAAATTCCGAATCTGAAATTGAATAAGTTTAGTCTTTGAATACTATATTTCTCCATTAATCACTAAGTCTCTAGTCCTGAAATGGTATCATGCACACCATCATCTTTATCTTCCTTATCCAGTGTTTTCTACATGTCTGGTTCTCTTTCAAATACTTAAAATATATTACCTCATTTCATCTTTACAGCAACTCTGGTACTTTCATTACCTTATTTTGCAAAAGAGGGAACTTTGTTAAAGAAAGACATTCAAGGTCATACAGCTTGTCAGTCAATATTTAGGCAAATATCTGCGCTGGAGATGTGGCTCAAGCGGTAACGTGCTCGCCTGGCATGCACGGGGCACTGGGTTCGATCCTCAGCACCACATAAAATAAAATAAAGATGTTGTGTCAGCCCAAAATAAATATTAAAAAATCCTCTCTTTCTCTCTCTCTCTCTCTCTCTTTAAAAAAATATTAGGCAAATATTTAAAACACGGGAGTTGGGCTYCAGGGTCCAGTGCTCGGTGACATTACCACACACAGTTAAATTTTTCTAGAAAACTTTCCATCACTTCTCAAGAAAGATGATTTCCAACCCGCCTATAAATGATCACGAGCCCACATGATCTAACAATTTAAAAATACATACATAAATAACATGTATTTAGGCAACAAGGAAGGAATCTGACACATACTGGACCAATTCTTCGGGTGGTATAGTTGATGGGTAACCCACCAACATACAGCATTCCCACAACATCCAGGATGTCTGCTTTCTTGGGACTGATGGTTCTGTTGGAGGCATCATCTACATGAAGAATTCCTTCTTGCTTAATTCGCACAATCTTAATCTACAAAATTGAAAAAAGTCATTAATGCCAATCTTAAATGAATTTCAATTATGCACAGTATAAGACATAAAATTTGGGGGCTGGGGCTGTGGCTCAGCAGTAGCACACTTGCCTGACATGTGTGAGACACTGGGTTCGATTCTTAGCACCACTTACAAATAAATATTATAAAGGTCTATCTACAACTAAATTTTTTTTAAAAAAAAAAAAACATAAGAACTTGTGTGATATTCATAAGAAAAGGTGAAATAATTTATGGGCTAAGGTGTAACATAAAGGAGTATACACCCATTTAACATAATATTTCAAAGTTTTGTCTTTTCCATGACTATCATTACTGAAAAGTCACAACCTTTTTCTGGGTAAGTTTTAGATTGAAGTTGCTTYTAGAGCTTTCCAAGTTTGCATATGTCTCAAGAGATAGGCATGTTGTATGGAAACTTGTAGACTGATAGCACTGCTATGAATTAAGTGAACTGCAAAATTCGTGTCTAGTTGTAATAATGTATTAATCTGAGCAAAACCTGTACTCCTAATGCCACTGACTACTTGCTACAGGCCTTTCTTGTGTGCAGAACTAGAAGGAGAGCAGTGCACAGGGGAGGTACTGTAATTTCTGCAGCAGCTGATTAGTCCAAAGTCAGCAAGGAAGATGGAAACCCTACTGATGCTGAATTTATGGCAGTTAAGGAAGTATCTTCCAGGACAGAATAAAAGAAGAGGGGTGTGAAAAATGGCTTGAGTATAGAATCTAAATTTAACCAGGGGATTATGTAAGCCTATGGAATACTGGAGCCCAACAATGGCTTAAAAATGAGTCTGGATCAGGACTAGGGTAATTTTAACACCTCATTTTATAGGTTATCTATTCTAGTTTGGGAAGTAATTTTAAAATCTTCAAAAATAAAATCTGCTTTTAATTTGGGTAATTATCATATTTAAGTTCCTCTCTTAATCCTAACCTTTTTTATGKCCTCAAATGTGACTTTTTCTCAAGTATCATATTTATTATCCCATTAACCAGAGATAAGAATAAATCTTAACAGGAACCCCTCCATTGAGATCACTATTTGCTATCCATAAACTYCCAATCAAATATAAAGATTGCATTTCTTATTTCTGAGACAAATTGGTTGACTTGGAGTTTGTCTTGTATTTTTTTTTAATGTTCTTTGGCTTTCTATATGGTATGACAAGTCAAAGTAGGTTAATACATCAAATCTAACATCTAATAATATCCTGCTCTGAAAATTAAGCATTTTATTGGTATACCCAGGGAAACTTTACTTAATAGGGTATCACAGGTGCTTAATTTTGAGTTTTTGTTTTAATCACGCAGTATATTATCTACTTGCAGTCATGCCAAAGACGATTGTAAGCTGTCAAATGAGCCTTCTGTGCCCATAATAGCACCAGTTTCTGGGTGTAAGGCCAGCCTTTTAAAGTTGTTCCAAATGACTATCGGTGGAAATGGTACCTTAGGGTCCTTTAAACACAACACTGCAGAGATTCCCAGACTCTTGGTTTTCAGACCCCCCAAATCGTAAGCCCCCATCTGAGTGTAGCCAACTTTTACTTTGGCCAAATTTTATTTATTAAAAGAGAGGTTTTACAGTACCTTCGAAATAGGAACATATAATCTCAAAAATAAATATTATTCCTCTACATCTMCTACCCAAAACTTCATGGTTAACACATGCTGTATCCTATAATTCTTACTCAGAGCAGTGAGAATGTCTTCAACCCCTTGGCCCAGTTTGTGGACATATGTTCGGGAGCCACAGTCGTGAAACAATGGCAGAACCCTGGAGTACCATGATCAGGTTTGTAAGTGGCCAAATATTAACCTACCCAGGATAGGATCACATTTTCCAAGGTTGTGCAAGTGGTATACAACATTTACTTTATTTTTAACCTCTGCCACATTCCAGCAGCATGAGGGTTAGTGCCTGCACTGGCAAAATAGTGCTGGCATCACGGGAACACCCATGGCTGCCACCTGGACCCCTGCAGAGAGGGTTGCCAAGTCCTGGGCATGGTTACCTTGTGCCACTGGCCATCATTGATTTTGGTGGGGATCATGGTGTTGGTGTCACCACTCCCCAAGTCATAACTGAAGTACGGCAATCCATTTCTCAGCTGAACTGTAGCAAAATCAGCATGATTGATCCGAGCCATGTAAAAAAGCAAGCCTGATTCAGCTTCGGTTCGCACTTCCAACTCAATTGTGAGGCTGTGAAATTCAAGCATGTGAAGGGAAAGAGGAAAATAAGAGAATTGTTATGCTAAGATGGAGGGGTGTCAACTTATGGGTTTATTTTCATAACATAGGTAAAATCTTCTCTGACGGGGCTTGCCTGGGCTACTGATTTCTTAAATGGAGCTCTTTAGGCCCAGACAAATATAATTTTATTCTCTGCTGTATTCAGAAAATTAAAAGTAAATAAAAAAATAATTTCATTAATTAGTAAATGTAGTTGATGAAATTTGATTAAACAAGACTATTCAATATTTCATTTACCAGTTCTTGGGCAATATCTCAGAATAATACACACCGGTTTTTAACTTTTGTGTCATCAAAGGCAATTGCAATGTGACTGTTTTTTGAAAGTCCGAACTGCTTGCTCCCCATCAAAAGAGCTGGTTCTGATTCTGCAGCACAAGGTCCCTGTAAAACACCAAGGAGAGAAAGAGAGGTGATTATGAGGTCTCTTTTTTAAATAGGCAACACTGCTGTTTGTTTATTACATATTATCTTCATGTCTAGGTATAATTCCTTAAGAATAAAAACTATTATTCATCTCTGTAATCTATAGCATAGCAGGTACTTATTATTAAATGCTCAGTGAATGTGAATCAGTTTTTCTATATCACACCCTTGAATTGCTAAATACGTGTGCTCAAAAATTTATTGATTAATTCATATTTTCATTATCCTCTAAGGAAAAATCTTGTTTATATTTCAGAGGAAACTATAATTTCTTCTTCACATTTATTTCACTTATGAAGAATCTTATTCTTGGAAGATTGAATAAGGAAAACAACAAACTAGCCACCTGCATTATAAGARTAGGAAAAAGTGTTCCTTTCTGCCCTCCCATTTCCATCTCCCACTATATTACTTTTCCTTAAAAATTATCAGTCTACTAGGAGGTTGCCATGAATTTAGACTTTCAAGATGGTGTATCTAAACCTGCAAGTCAGACCATTCAGGTCCTTAGTCAGTTGCTAGGCAACACAGCACATTTTTTTTTTTTTTTAATGTAAACTACCATACAGCATTTCCACTGCTCCTGTTCACAGATGAGGTTCCTGGGGTGCTTAAGAGGGACAGCTAGGTACAGAGCTGTGTTTTCACTGGGTTTAATGCTCTGCCCTCACCATCATGAAATCCTGAACAGTTTTTGATCAGGGGGCCCTACATTTTCATTTTGCATTGAACCTTGCAAATTATACAATCGATCCTGGCTATGTGGACCATATTAGGCTACCATAACAAACAATCCAGTAATCAAGGCTCTGCATATGACCAAATCCACAAACCTCTTTCCCTGTTCTCTATTTTCACAAGATAGCTCCATGTACAGGCAGCTTAAGACATCTTTTAGAACACGCAGTAYATGAGAAAATCAATAACCTGTGCACTCTGCCCGGCACATCTGTTTTTAAGATCTGAGCTTAATAGCTCTAGAGGGACCACTGCCCCAGTGAATGCTGAGTCAGCAGAGGTTTCCAAACAGCCCAGGGCTTGCTTTGGATGCAGAGTGTTCCAATGTACCTCTGAGATGACTCATCAGCACACAGGAAATCTTTACTTGAGGAATAGCCTTGTTCTCTTTTCTCTTGCGTTTAGTCAAATGCAACACTCTGCCACAGCAGGTAAAGGGCTTAAAGTGTTTTGAAATGCTGTAAAATTGGTCTTCGTGGAAGTATTTCTCTTCTTGGCTTCCCAGGAGATGGTCAGTTATAAAGAGCAGACTGTGGCCAAAATTCATATAGCAATGCAAAAACCCAGTGGGTAGGAAGGGAAAATGCTCCTCACGGCACCTTATTTCTCACTGCCCACAGTGAGAGCACAAATGGAAAGGCTCTGGTGGCTTAATGCCTCAGCCCTCAGTGACTATTAATAGAACTGGGATCATTTATCAATCTTTTACAATATTTCCTGTACACAGGACCTTCTCAAAAAACACATGTAGCCTACAGTTCTCAGAAACCTCTAAGAGAATCCTATGTGCTGTGAGTCCACGGGGACAGAATTTCACTAACACATCTTTAAACCTTCATCTTTGAAAAACGGAGAAACTGAAAAGGTCAATGGATACTGAGGAATTAGGGAGCAATAATGCCACCTAAAAGGAAACCACAGAGTGTTATGATCCTATTATTGTTACTATTGCAGCTACTTGTTCAGTTACTGTATGTAAACGTAATAGAAAAGCATAGAAAATCATATTTGATTTTGAATAAAATAAAACCCTATTCTATTGTGGTTTTTAAACAGATCACAGTGGCAGTTGCAAAGATTGGGTGTTTTACTGGTGGCACCTGTATGCTCTAGAGAGCTTTTGTCTTTATCTGTTACATGGAGGCCCAAACACCATGATAACTTTGCCAGCTAGACAGGTGTTTCCAAAACAGGTTCTGAGCTCATCAACAGTTCTGTATCACATACTATCAGATTTTCAAGATGGAAGTGGCCCTGCTTAAGTCATTTTAGGAAAAGAACTGTCCAGAAAAGTACAGGGACTTTGTCAAGGCCCTTCTAAGAACCATGAGCACCCTACTTGAAATGAAGAACTTTCCTCAAAATTCCCATTTTTTTCTTTTGAAAAGGGTGGATCTGGACAAGCAGGCAAAAGCAGTGTTTAATATAATGGTGTACTCCAATTAGCCTAAGCTGTAGCAGCCAGTGGGAACAAACTGATTAGTGGGTAACCTCAAAGTAGAAGCCAGGATGGTAAATTCACTCTTCTTTGAGGACATCCAAACTGACACTAATGTCGACTTGCAATCAGATGCATATTATAGATATTGCTTTAATAAAATATCTATCACCTTCCTTTATAAAATTGGCAGTTGGAAAAGGACTGAGAAATGCTAGTGTAAGAGGGTTTTTATATGTATCTACTTTAGGATTTAAGGAGGAAGAAAATCCTCTAATCTCTAGTGTGGTAATGTTCTGGTACCATCTGGATCTCTCCCCTTGCTTGGTTAAAGGGAGCCTGGACTGAATCATGTCTGCTTTGCATCACCTTCTCTGGGGTGAACTGAATCTGATTTTTAAATCAGGATGGGTGCAGGGCAGCGCTGTTCCAGAGGTTTGCTTGCTGTTGCTGCAGCTTCCCTTCCTCCTCTCTCAGTCCCCCAGAGGGTGGAGCTGCTCCCCCTGCAGCTCCAGCTTCTCTCTCCCTTCTAACATTTTAAAAGGGAACATGTGAGATGCATCAGAAAATGCCTGCACTATGCACAAGAATGAAATGATCTTGACAGTAAGGACATTTTCAACTCTGCTTCCCATAGAAATCTAAGCTAAGCCAGAGGAGTGGGAGGAAAGATCTCATTAGGTAATTTCAATTTAAAGATGGCTCATTGCAAGATGAATTTTCCTCCTCTCACCTACAAGAGCTTGAGGGGAGTCTTTATGGACGTGATGCTTTTCCTATGCTGTTTTGGAAACACTGATCTCTGAAATGTGTTAAACAATTAAAAAAAAAAAAATCAGTCTCAGTAGAGGCTCATCAATCTCAACGTGTTACAATTCTGCCACCTTGTGGGGATGCTTTAAAATACTACAAGTACATTTTGGGGGAAATGAGATATGAAAGGGGAACTGGATATGCTTTTTAATGTATCTGCTTGACCCTGGACAAGCTGTAGGCAGATTGACTTGGATTTTGAGGGGTGTCTAATGTTGCAGTTTGTCTGTTGATGAGAGCAGTGATGTGGTTGGAGAGGACTCTGAAGAAAGCCAGGCTTGCAACAGTCATGTTCAGGGAAGAGGAGAATATGCCATTTATTAATAAGGTGAAAATCTTTTCACCCTATTTAATTCTAAGTCAGAGTAAAGTAGTGGTCATATTCAACTTCTGATTGGTGGTTGGCGTTGGCAAATAAATATTTGGATTTAAGATAGCACACGATTCCCTGATAAGCATCCCTTGAATTTAGATAGGTGCAGAGCAGAGATTTAAATTGCATTTATGAAAATTGACATCTTTGTTCTTGAAAGCATCGAATGACAAATCATCATAAAAATTGCATGATTTTCTTCTTTCATAAGTCAATTATCTCCCTAACAAGTGTGGGCTAAAATCATATCTGATGATTATTTGTGATGATTTTCTTTACGGATGAATACTCAGTGGAAGATACTAGGTTTTTTTTTTTTAATACTGACTTTAATGTTCTGAAATGGAATATTCCTATTCAAGCTGTTTATTGAAAAAACTGAATTATGTTAACTCCCTGCTCATGAGCTCTTTTGGTGGTATTGGGCATTTTCAGTGATATTTACACACTAATGCCTGAAGAGAGATTCCTTGAAGTGTAGAGAATGTGTGTTTTTCCTTTAAATACATATCAGTATCCAATCGATTTATCCTTTAGCCTTGACTGTACTTAGCTTTTAAAGTCGTAGCATTAAATCTGCTGGAGAAATCACTTTCTTTTTCTCTATCCTTTCCTTCTCTGTCTACTTCATCTCCTCAATTCCCAAAGAGCCCTTATCAACACAACCCTCTTCATGGCTCCTTATATGGCTCTTCTTGATTTTCACATTTTAAACTTTCAGGTTCACAGTTCAACTTTCCCATAAGATGCAAGTAAAAAAATAAGCAGCAGGCATTGCTCACAAGCCCCACAGCCACGCTCCTTATGAGAACTTGGTGTAAATAGTACATGGATTCACAGAGGACTTGCCACATTTTGACACATCACCATATTTCTGAAATACTGGAGGCCCCAGACTTTTAACTCCTCTGTTCCCTGTGTTTCTAAATTGGAAAGATCTGCAAATAATATGCAGAAATGCTTATCTAAATGGGCTAAGAAATAAGAGGGAAGAACAAAGAGATGATAAGCTTCTGCCCTATCAAATGAGAAAACATGCATGAAATGCCCTCTAATCTCCAAGGTTCTATCATGGATTAACCACATGACTGGTGAAATCCTTTTCCCAGGGCAAGGCTTTCTCAGGATCCTCTTCAATTGCTGTCTTCTTGCTGTTAGCTGCTGACTGGGTTGGGTGTAAAGAAGAAAAAGAAGGAAGAAGAGGAGATCTTTTCTGTCAATTGCACTAGAACAAATATGGGGCTCATATACCAGAAGCTTCCACATCAAAAATTAACTTGTAAGTCTTAATTATTACATAACAATTCTTAAAAATTTAAATAAACTTTGATTTAAAAAAGAAAATGTTGAGAATTATAAATGATGAGAAACTTGAGTTCTAACCATTACGTGTTGGAGTTTGAAATTGCTTAAAAGTAGAATCCTCACCAGCAACCCATATTCCCTGGTGCTTGCCTCACCCTATAAGTACAAAAGGTTAAACTAGCTAGTCACATAGAAGGATTGACAGAGCCATGGGGTATTACCATGAACCAGGGACTCTGCATGCAATGTGTAACTTCTTCCCTCATGATAATCCTAAAAGGTAGATATTATTATCTTATCTTTCAGTGGGTTACCTTACATTTAGAGAGGACCAGGCACCTGCCAGAGYTCATTGAACAAATATGGGTGGTTGCAGGAAAGCTAATGATTACTTACTCTTGTGTTATCACTCTTGCTAAGGCCGCCCCCTGCCACTATCAATGATGCTCTCTTCTTCATCTCTGCATTTATTAGATGCTTAATAAATACTTATTTAAAATAAATTGTTAATGGGCTGGGGATATAGCTCAGTTGTTAGAGTGCTTGCCTCACACAAGGCCCTGGGTTCAATCCCTAGCACCAAAAAAAAAAAAAAAAAAAAAGTTAAACATTTAAGTTTTAGTAACCTTTAAAGAGAAGACTCCTCTCCACCTCCCACCCAAAAGACAGAAAATAAGAAAGAAATCAAACTAAAAGAGGAGATATGTGTGGCTCCATGATCTGAATTTCTACAATACAATTCCATAAAGAAAGTTCTAAAATTATAATTCTGACCACAACATCATAAATAATTACTATGTACAAGAGAGAGTCAATAGCAGGTAGAGTTTAGATGCATTAGTGGCTTTAGCGCCAGTTCTCACTAATGTGTGTAACCTTGAACCATGTTCGAATTGCTAAGGTCTTCTCTAGCTATGATACGAAAGGTAACTTCTTTGTTATTCATTCCAGAGCAACCAACTGGGCTGCTCCATAACTAGTTGGCTTTGTTATTGTCTACCAATGAATGCTATATTTTTGGAAAAGTTAAACCATAGATTGTTAAGAGAAAAGGGAAACCAGAATTAGAACAGAAAGTTCCAAGAAAACTGAAAAGAGTGAAAACCTTCAGTCCCAGAAAAATGTTGTTTTTAGAAACCACAGAGGGATGTGCTTGAGATGACCTAYACAATGACATTTGGTGAGCACTAAGGAAAGTAAGGGGATTACTGAAGGCCAGCAGGGGTCTTCTCCAAAAGCCCAAACCAAACCAACAGGTACAAGATGAGAGACCTGACTGAAGGGAATTCTAGTGATAAGAAGGCCCACAGGGTGAGGTTTCCTTGAGAAAATATGGTACCAATTTAGGAGTCAATAGCAATGATGCATCTGTTGAAAACATTAACAGTTCAGGTACATTAATAGAAAAATAATAACAGACTCAGGGAGGAAGCAATGTCCCTTGAACTAGCCACTTCTTTTTTTGAGGAGTATGGTCTATCCTATGTGCCATATTTTAAAAGGTTATTTCAAACTCAGGAGTATTGATTTCCTGGGATATTAATATTATAAATTTGGTCATACAAAGAATACCTGATCAGGTGGGATATTTAGTCTGGGGAGAACAAGACTTAACTATTTTTGAAACCTCAAAGGGTCATTAGAAGGGATGCTAATATGTTTAGTTATGGAAGCACCATCATTAGGTGGAAGTTACAGGGATACAATTTGACTTCAGTATAACCAATGGCTTTCTAACACTTTGAACCTGCTCATCACGACCCTGGAAAATCCTTGTCAATGAAATATTCAAGCAAAGGCTGCAAGCCCATGTCAAATATCACACATAAGAAATTCACACTTAGATCTAAGAAGGGGACAGGACCAGAGATCTATAGGGCTCTTGTCAACTGTAGTTTATAATTTTAAGCGTGTTGTTGAGAAATTAAGGTCTATTTCCTTAGAAATCATTTTATAAAGGCATATGAGGATCTAAGGTCAAAAAAAGACTATTTCTAAGGTCAAAATATCATGTTTTTAATTCTTCAATTGAAAACACATTCTTGAGCTTAGGGAACACTTACTTTTAAGAAATATAAGGGGAAAAGAAGGAGGATCATTAGCCTTCCTTTTCTGGGGAAAGATACAGACAGAGGTCACGGTATGAAACTGCTGAGAAAACATTCTGAAATCCCTGTAGCAGATCTCCTGATACCTCAGGGGGAAATCACTCCACATGACTGATGGCATTTACCTTGCTTGTTTTGTGATCCTGGGTATTTTCTTTGGTGAGATAACATTAATAGTATTTCCAAAAATTGTAAATAAAATAATTAATAGCTTTTCAGGATCAAATAAAATAATATGACCACAGAGTAATGGACTCATACCAATCACTCACTAAAGGCAGAGATCCCTCAGTGTATCTATGTGATGATGTACTTCTTCCAATTCTTAAAGAACTTCCACATGCATTATCTCYTATAACTCCATGCAGTAAGCAAGGTAGGTGTAAGGTTCACACTTTACAAAGGCTAAATTTATGCTTGGAGTAAATGACCACTTTTACTGAATGATGATTATCTGCCCTGTCATTTAATAATTTTTCTAGTGATAAAGAGCTCAGAGCTTTACAGAACAACCCATTTCATCACAGAAATCAATGAAGAGAATGAGATGGTCAAGAGTTTTCCAAATCTACACTCAAGACAACATGTTTCACCCACTTCTGAATTACAGATGTGATCATGTGCTGTTGAGAGTGTCGTGAAATTGACCCCTTTGACAATATGGTGGTAAGAATGTAAACAGGTATAACCACTGGAAAAGGCAATTCAGATACATGTGTTGAGAACCTCAGACATATTCACTTTTTGGTTTCATAATTCACCATCCATGAATCTATTCTATTAAAAAAAATCAGAAATGATGGAAAAAGTTTGATTCACAGAAGTGCTTATCAGAGATTAGGTTCTAATAGCGAAAAACTACAAATACTCTAAAATCCCACAATGGACTACTCAAAAGAAGAATACATTGTAAAGGCAGAGTGCTGTAGTGATAGCAAGCCAGAATTTGGATTAAGATCCATGGGGTTAAATTTCCTATTGTGACACTAACTAGCTGGGTGAGGGGGTGAGTTACTTAAATTAGCTAATGCTTATCAAATCCACTCAAAGTGGAATGACAATCTATATTTTAAAGAGCAGTTATGACAGTTACAATAACATTAAATGGAAATTGTTTAGATAGCAGCTGAAACATTAAGCTTTTGAAGGCAGTAATTATTATCATTACCATATAATAATCATTATATATATATATTATATATATATATATATATAATATATATATATAAATACTTAGTTTATGGCAGACATGTAGCAAAGATTTTATTTTAATATCCTGATAATAACTCTTTGACATATGTGCTATTAATATCCTCACTTCACAAATGAGGAAACTGAGGAATAGTTCAGCCAAACAGCTTTCCCAAATTCTTTTTGTTGGTCTTTTTAGATATACATGACAGTAGAGTATACATTGGCATATTATACATACATGAAGTGTAACTTATTCTAATTAGGATCCCACACTTCTGGTTGTAAATATGTGGAGTTACAGTGGTCGTGTATTCACATATGAACATAGGAAAATTATGTCTGATTTAGTCTGTCTTTTCTATTCCCATTTCCCCTCCYTTCTCTTTATTCCCTTTTAGCTTTCCCAAATTCATATAGAGGGTTGGTTAAACTAGGATTGATTGAATTGGGATTTGACTCCAGGCTGTCTGAGTACTACCTCCTGCACTGTGACACATTTTGTGTATATGTATATGTGTGTACCATAAAAAATCATAGTAGGCTCATACGTTTACATGTTTAGAACCAGTTTTAATTGTGTATTATGAATTTTAAAAATCAGATTACCAAATTTCATGGGCACTGGTATGAGATCCATGTGTGAAATGAAAAATAAAATTGATGATTGTAGTGGGGCGTGGTGGTGCCCACCTATAATCCCAGCGACTCAGGAGGCTGAGGCAGGAGAATCATGAGTTCAAAGCCAGACTCAGCTAAAGCAAGGCACTAATAAACTCAGTGAGACCCTGTCTCTAAATAAAATACAAAATAGGGTTGGTTGGGGATGTGGCTYGGTGGTTGAGTGCCCTTGAGTTCAACCCCCAGTACCAAAAAAAAAAAAAAGTGATATGATTGAAAAGTGATATGATTCCCTTTCTGTGTTGGTATTGTAGGTAGCTTCTATTGCTAATTTTGGATATTTCTGATTTCCAACTTTCCAAYTGAAACTGTACTATTTTATAAACAAAAATTTAGGGAAACACATAAATAAAAATAACTCAAGGTAGAGGTGAGAGGAGTAGATTTTCATTTCCAATCCCAGCAATAGAATATATCTGATTCCCTGAACAATTCCCCTTCTGAAAAAGGACTCAAAACACCAAGTGAATGGAGATATAAACACTCACATGTGCCACAGCTGGGCTGGGAGTAAGGAAGGCTGGGGTGGGAACTGGCTCAGGCTGGATAATGATTTCAGCTGGAACTCCTCCATCTTCATCTTCCAGGGGTTTCTGATGGGTACAGCGACCAATGTCTGCATTTTTGAAGGATACAGGCTGGGCAAAGTCCATGGGGCTAATTGAATGGAACAAAATATTTTTTTTTCTTAGTTTTCATTCCTCCATAATGAATCAGACCACCATGCCCTCCCTTTTAAGACCCCCAGTTCAGTCTTCCAATTCTAAATTAAGACCTTCATAATTTCCTTTCCTCATGATTTTGGATAATGTTAGTGATCCTCAAATTGAAAAAAAAAATAGTAGAAAGGAGTATTACTTACACAGAGTTAATAACAAGATTCCACACACAGCCTTCAAAAGGAGGAATGTTTCTGAGTGGGGGAGGTTGGAATTCAGGTGGAGCACCCCCAATGAAAAGCTTTTTGACTTCAATAGCCTGTTCTACTGTGAGATTTTGCATGTGTCTTTTATCTTCATCGACTTGAACAGTGAAGATGCTAAGATTTTTAAAATAAACAAACATGAATCACATATTATTCAATACAGTTGGAAATCTCCTTCCTGCCGCCCCTCACCCATCCTTTCTACAGCATTTAGGTGATCCCCAATTGGCTGATTTGGAACTCCACATTAACCACTGTTATTCTTTCCCCAGCATTTTGTCCCTTATCTCTCTTAACTGTCCCTGAAAGCTTACTGAAATCAGGCAATGTGCAGAAGCAAAATGAGCCTCTGGTAGAGGGGACAGCTGTAGTCTGAAGCCCAAARCATGAGCCTGTGAGCGCAGGGGCTCCTGTGCTGAGCAGTGATGTCTAATCCTGTAAGGATCAGTTGGTTAGGCACAGCATGGGGTCACATTTTGTTTGACTCTTTATTTTTTGGTTTGTGCTGGCTATTATCTTCTTGCTAGGGGACAAACTGTACTCCTGAGAGCTTCGACTGCAGGAATCAACAGCAAACACTGTACAGTATGTTGTTTTATAAAGATTGTAGCTGCTGGCTTTTGAATAGAAGAGGCAGGCAAGAACACCAAGCTCATTGTTCCTTGCAACAATTTTCCTTAGTGGCTGTTTCATTACTTTCCCTAATTTGCTTATGAGAGATAACTCACACACGACTAATTGAAAACCTCATGCTACTGATTTACAATAATCCTTGGATCCTGGGGCAAAGAATCAGGAGACAAAGTTGCAATGACCAAATGCATTTTCTCTTTTGTTGTTGAAGTAGGTTTTGAGCTTGGTTCCAACAGTCATCTGGGTGCCATTAGTGATAAATGTCATCAATATTAGTCACCAGCCCCAAGATCATAAATGGATCACTGAAAACTTACTTCCTATTTGAAAATAAAACCAAAGTACTCTGGTGGACAATGCAGTCCTAAAGGGCTATCTTACTTGATTTTATAARTTAAAAACAAAACAAAAACACATACACATGTGGAACTGGAAACAATATAGTAAGGCAACAAATTGTTACTGATTATGGATCCACTTTGATACAATTCAAAAGAGAAAAGAACAAAAGATGGATTTTGCTATGGCTCAAGATATCACTTTTCAAGGGGGTGTACAGGGAATTGGTCAGATTTAGTTTCAAAGGAAAAAATAGGTTTTTAAGAAACGAGATTGTGGAAGAATATGTAGGCAAATATCAGGAGGTGCAACTTCATTGCTAAGAGTATTGGAGGTTTAGGAGACTTAAGAAGCCTCTCACTTCTGGATATGTGTGACTCACTGAGATACCCCTACCCCCACTCCCACCACCCCATGTTTCTCCCTTCAATTAAAAGCAATCCTTTGCTTACAGATGAAGTGGTGCTTCTAGGGGCTTTAATGAGTGTGTAAGCCACTCTTAAAGAGAGCAAATCTCTGCTCTTGATTAGAGTTTTAAGGAGCCAGGAGCCCTCCTTTTTCTGGTGTAGATTCTATAGTTGGCTTCTGCCCCAAGGACCATGATATAAGTCCTTTGCTACTAGATCCTGGGGTAGTGATGTGGAATGAATGAGGGCTTTCAGAAGGAACAGACTGGAATTAAGTGCTAGTGTGGAAGCCTACTAGTGCTGTGACCTTGGGCAAGTTATTTAATCATGCTCAATTTCATTTCATTCATTTATAAAATGGAGATAAAAATACCTACTTCAAACACTGGAAAACATTAATTAAGGGTTTCCCCCGAGGCTGTTTTACTTAATAAGGGCATTGCTAGAAGACAATAGCTGGATTCAGCTCATATTTTACACATTAAGTGCATCAAATCTAAATGATTTATGTAGTACTTAGGTACAGAAGGACTTTACCAACGTGGCCATTATGAATCTGGTGTGTTTTCTATTTTTTTTTAATTCATGTAAAAACTTTTTACTGAGGTTCTTCTTCTTTGTGCAAAACACCATAATAAATGCTGCATTACCTATTAATATTATGACAGGTCAGCTCTATTGTCATTATTTTCTTTTACAATTTTAGCGGTTGATTCTTAGGGTTTCATAATTAAATGTTTATATATATATATATATATTTAGTTGTAGATGGACACAATATTTTTATGTATTTATWTTTATGTGGTGCTAAGGATCGAACCCGTGCCTCACACATTCGAGGCAGGCATTCTGCCCTGAGTTACAGCCCCAGCCCCTCATAATTAAATATTTTATTACTTACATTCTTTTCCTTTTTTGTTCAAAATATTGGTCCAAGACTTTTGTTTCTTCAAGCCACCACCAATTGAATTGCATATTAAGTATCTTGACATTGTAATTTACATGAACAAAATTGAATCTCAATGATAAGGAAGAAAATATTTGGGTGGTAGTATCCAAATCATGCTCTCCTTCTGGAAACCCCAATTATGCCTGAAATATCTGACCCAACTTCATGGTCTTTAGCCTCATTTGGTGCCTACATGTAGAATGCTTTCGCAGAGGAGAAACCCAATTCAGTTGCTTATCTTAGTTGCCTATTCAGCCATTTCAGGCCCTCATCCAGTTAGAACTGCTGAGGTAGATGCTGGGAGAAGTGTCAGAGGCTAGAGCACTCACAAAAAGCAGAGGTCACCGGAGTACCAAGAAATTAGATAACAAAGTGATTGAAATGAAATTTTTTTTTTCCAGAGGAAGGGGTAGAAAAGAAGAACAAATGAGGAAAGAGGAGTGAAAAGAGGCAGAGGGGGAGACAGAAGTTTGATCTTGGGAAGTTTGTCCTATAATTTGGTCAAAACCCAATGATTTTATGAGGTGGTATTAAAAACACAATCTTATCCAGGGTTTTAGGAAAACCTAAATGGTGACTGACATTTATGGTCTCAAAAGTGTTGAGAGAAAGCAATATTCTTGAAGTATATTATAATCAACTTGAAGTAAAAGAAACCTTTAAGGTCACAAGTAAGGATAAGAATAAATAGTTTGTCAAGCATGGATRGAAGTATTTAAGACAAATATGTCTGGGTTAAAAACCTGTCTCTGTGTTTCTGATATGTGATTTTGTGCAATTCAGTTACTTCTTTCTCATCCATGATGAAATAATATTAATACACTTCTCATGKACATTTAGAATAATTAACAAGCAATGTCTGTGTAATATTTGACAAATAACATCATAGAATTGGTATATGAAGCATTAAAATGTTTCAGAGTGAAGTTCAGGTGGACATTAGTGATCTCTGGTTAATCAGTTTTATGGAGTACCTTCTTATAAAGTAGAGGGTAATGCTGTTTCGACCTTAGAACACTGAAAAAGACATTATGGAAGCAAATGTGTTCTTGTTTTGGCACAGAGTTCAGTGACTACACACTAATATGTTCAACATTATCCTGTAATTAACAGTGAATGGCAAGACCGTTTGTTTATATGGCCAATTAGCAGAATGACCAGTTTTCAGGGATGTACTATCCACTGAGCTTAATCAAATGAAGGCTGGATTGATAGTCAACAGCTGTGAAGCTGGCATAATAAAATGCCCTTCTTGAAGAGACACCTGTTAAAAGGACACCTTAGTACAACCTCATAATGCATTTGGGGATTTCAAAATTCTTTCTCTAGAAAATAATACATTTTGGGTGATCTGGGATCAACTATATTTCTCAAATTTGCATTTCTTAATTGAAATACTTTCAAGTTCACAGACTCTTAAAAAAAAGTTCTTCCCACAGTAAGAAGTATTCATTTTTGGCAAAGGGCATAAAATCTAGTCAAGAAGAAATGTAAAATCATAATCTAAAGTGTTCCTTCAGGTTTGAACGCAAAAATCCAGTCTGCTGTTCTTTTTGGAAACCACAACTACAATATCTGGCTGTTAAATTGGTAAAAGTTCTGATTTTGTCCAACTATTGATTGCTCATTTGTCTTAATCATGGTTTCTAAACATCTTGGTTAGTAGACGCTGCAGGAATGCTTAGCATCAATTCAGCCTACAACCGAATGCTCTATGTAATAATAACAAAGCGAGCTGAGGAAAGCTTTAGTATTTACTTAGATGATAAGAAATCCTTATTATTCATCTAAACTGTTATCTATACAAGAGGATAATTAGAAAATATAGATCTTTAGCTACAGAATAGCAACTGCTTGTTTGAACTATTGCTACACATTCATACTTGTGTTTCATTTAAAAGTATTCTCTGTGTTTTGAGGTTTCATTATATTTGATTTCTAGCTCTTTTCTATGCTTCAGTCTAATAAATGGATTTCTTGTTTGGAGGGCTGAGGCCTCTGCAGTCTCTGGGTTTCTGTTTTCTTTTTCTCTAACTGTCCTTCAAAACTAATTAACTTTCTGAGTTGTACAATATTTTGATGAAAAATACTGATGAATTTCCAATAAAGAAAGTATTAAGTAYGGTAACAACGGAAGAAGCAGGAAATCGGTTTGTGTACTGTTAAAGCCAATTCCCTAGATCAGAGCAAGGGGAGCAGGTGCTATTGTGGATCCGTGGAGTGGAGGTCTCCATGGAAGGATTGTGGGGTAGTGGCCATTCCCCTTCTCTACCTTGACTCTGATCCCTCATGAAGGTACTGCAGGAACTCTGCACACCCTGGGGAGGAGACAGGGATGAAACACGCACACAAGAGGCTCAGCAGGTCATGCAGCTGCTGTCGCCACGCTACCATATCTGTGACAGGTTTCTAAGCAGCTGCCATAACTGCTTTGGAACCTGAATGAAATCAGAGCTGCCAACGGTTGCTGGCTCTGGCTGAGCTTTTACGTGAGCTTTACTATGTGCATGCCTTATTTGAGAAGAGAGTATTGAGAGATGAAGAAGGAGGGATTTTTCTTATCTCTAGATTCAGAAGATTCATTTGGTTATTCCAGAGGTGGAACAGAGACCTGTAGAGGATAAAGCTGTTAAGAACAGAATTCTTAAGGGCCTGGCTAAATGAGGTTCCTGAAATACAAAGTGTAAGAAAAGGAAATTAAGGTACTTTTTCATTTTATGATGGATAGTATATCTAGACACACTGAAGTTCAGGCAGAGACCAAGGCTGGAAAGGAAGTTGACACAGTAAGTATTCTAGTGCTATAGTTACCCTCTAGTTCTCTCCACATGAACAGAATGTTCTCTCCCATCATGAAACAGACTTGGCTCTGGTCTGACAACAATTTTCCTCATTGTTCGTGTCCCCATGGAGAGATGCACTTCCAGACGCCCCTTGTTGAGGAATATGGCATAATAGGCCTGCAATGAGAAATGGTTATGGAAGATGAAAAGGAGACTCATCTATGGCTTAGCTGTAAGATGTTCTGACAGAGCCACAATTTCATCTGGCCTGAGATCTTACTGAAGACAACTCAATATTTTCTTAAACAGAGTTGTTAGAGCATTTGGCAATGTCTTTTTAACCATTTACCGTTTTTGCTTGTTAGATGATGTGGAAAGTGCAGATAGTAATATAGCAGTTCTCTGCCAAGCAGGTTTGTAATGCTGAATCTAACAGCTGTGTTTGAATTGGTCCTCTAACTCACAAAAGAACACAAAGGGTGTCCACAAAATCTGTCTCTCTTGTATTCACAGGCGCAAGGCTGGCCTCTGGAAATGAGGTCTGACTCTCAACCTCATGGTATTTTGAATGTTTAGACTTCAGTTTGCTCTCGATCTGGTGTGATAGATTTCTATCACAAACATGTAACTTGTCTCCCACATTTAGAAAGAAGGAGACAATTTTTTCATCCACAAACACGTCTGCCTCTTCTTGCTATGGTTACCATAGCAACCAGTATGGTTTTGATATCTGATTGTGAACCCCAGGGAGCATGAATGCAGTCCTCGTCCCCAAAGCAGATGYCAAATACATTTCCTTTCTTGTGGACCACTGGGCACCCACTGGACATGATCACAGGGTCCTCACGAGTAACCTATGGCAGTGGAGATGGTTTCTATCAAAATCCTCATGTCTTCAATACTGTACTTTGTCATCTACGCAGGTCCACGTCCAGCACAAAATGATCTGAGGATCTAGATTAGTACTCACCATTCCCCAAAGGGGCAGCCACAAACTACTTACTTGAGCATTTCTCAGCTGTTTGACATCACAAACCCATTTAGCAGAACACAATCACAAACAACACTCTGCATATCAAAACTGTTATCTTTGAAAGCTAAAACATGTCAATTTAATCAGCGTTGATTCTACAACAGACCAGTACTATTTAACCTCCTTTCCTTCTTCAGATAACAATCACTATGCAATTTTTAAAAATTAGATATTAGATATTCATTATCATTAAAATTCTGGAACATTAAATTTTGTTTCTAATTTATTTTGTGCTATAGTACTTCATGTTTTCTTATTTTAATTGTTTTAATAGGAACATGCTCTAGTTAAAGAAATATCCTGAACGCTGGTGACTCAGGTCCACTTAATTAGTCCTGATGAGGGAAATTTGAAGCCAGTAAGTAGGTAGTACTTCATTATTCTGCAATGAGCAAGGAAACAAATATAGGGTAGTAGAAATGTATTTTGGAATGTTAGGTCTGGTCCCCCTATTATAACTAGCTTATCATTTGTAACAGTGAGAAAATAATTTTATTTTTCAGGATTAAAGGATAAAGGATTTAAAGGAGCTCTCATGTTTTATGTTTATTCAGTGATTATTTTGTGCAGTGAAAAATGAAATATTGCTTTTCTCCCTCTACTCTCCAAAAAATATTTTATTATGACTATTTGACACATTCCTCATAGTGGGATATACATACAAATGATGAAGTTGTGTTCATACTGTGCAGTAAAATCTGCCTCTGAATCCATCACTTAATTTAAGAAACTATTGTTATATCTCCTATGAGCTTCTTGATCCCATCTACCTCCTTCCAGAGGTAAATACATGTCAGAGGCAACCACTAATATGGATTATACCTTCATTATTTCCATGTTTTTAAAAAGTTATTTTTAAAAATGCACATATACATACCTGTAAATGGAGTTATTTACTGCTTCTTGTATTAAAATCTATAAATAGTGTCATTTTTCATTTCCATATGGTTTCTATCCATCCATGTTGTCTTGTTTAATTACAATTTATTCCTTGTGTCTACTCTTAGTATCCCATTATGCAAAAATGCCAGTTTGCTTATTTGTTCTSGGGCTGATGAGGATGAGGTGGTTTCTACTTTTTCTGCTATGGTTAGAAATGTTTCTATGAACATTCTTGTACATGTCTTATTAGGCAGCTGTGAAAGAGTCTGGGCATACACATGGGAGTGGAAAGTTCAACTCTATAAGATTGTGCCAAATCACTTTCCAAAGAGACTGTAGCCACTCCCTCTTTTCTTCCAGCTGTGATTGAGAGTTTCCTTTGACCAAGGTCTTCCCAATACTTGGTACAATGATATTTCCCAGTGTTTTATCATTTTAAGTGGTCTAAAAATCTAGTGTGGCCTGAAGTTGCACTTCTCACATTACACTGAGGTTGAATATTTTAAAAATATTTTTGGATTAATCATGTTTTCTCTTCTCTGAAATGTCTAGTCAAATCTTCATTATTGTCTGTGGTTTTTTTTTTTTTTTTTTTTTTGGTTTGTAAGAGTTACTTTTATTTGCTGGTTATCAGATTTTTTAAAAAAATTGACCTTTAATGAATGAATGAATGAATTATGTGGTGCTGGGATCAAATCCAGAGCCTCACCTGTGCTAGGAAAGTGCTCTATCACTGAGCCACAACCCCAGTCCTATTTACCAGATTTTTGAAGGTTATATATTCAGTAACTTTCCAGGCTGGGGCTTGTGGTGTGTGTGTGTGTGTGTGTGTGTGTGTGTGTGTGTGTGTGTGTGTGTAGAGAGAGAGAGAGAGTTCTAATATTAATGATTTTTTTTGGCTTCTATTTTGTTCAAAAAACCCTTCTCTTCCTCAAGATTGAAAGTTATCCTTCCATATTTTCCTCCAAACATGTTATTTTTCTTTCTATATGTAAGACTTTAATTCACTTGGAATTTATCTTTTTGGTTTGATATTAAGAAGAAATTCAGCTTCATTCTATTCATATAGATCACCAATTGTCCTAATATCATTCACTGAATGGGTTCACTGTTTTCTTAATGACTCGAAATGCCACTGGAGTGTCAAATGTCATGTCCATCTATGTTTGGGATAGACAGGGTTTTCTTTTCTGTTTCACCAGACAGAATTTTCCATGAATGAATATCACAGCACTACAATCCCAAACTCTCATAATGTGCTGATATCTGATAGTCTAAGCTTACCATCTTATTCTTCAATTTCAGGAGTTTGGGAGGTTTTGGTCTTTGATGGAAATTTTTATTGGTACGTTATAATCATACACAATAGTGGGACTTGTATATGCAAACAATATAACAGTATAACTTGGTCAATTTCAATTCCAGTACCTCCCCTTTTCCCTCTTTTCCTCTTTACCCAGGTCTCCTTTCTATTATGATATAAGATACTGAAATTGAATCACTTTTGGGAGAATTGACATATTTTTAATATTGAGTCTTTCCATTAACATGTTGAATACACTCATTTATTAAGGACTACTTTAATGCCTTTCAATACACTTTTATAATTTTCTTCATCTAGGTCTAACTTGTTATATTTATTCTTAAATTTTATACTTATTCTTATAGTATGTTTACTTATACTTTTTTCAGTTCAATAATAATAACTATTCTTGGGTTTAAATTCATAACAAATGTTTGTATTATTTTTCTATTAAGAATAGTTGCTATAAATTTTTACAGATGGCTAAAGAAATTTCTTCCCCTTCTCACTTTATTTTAAAATTATGAATGGGTGTTATGTTTCACCCAATGTTTTTTCTGTATGTACTGGGATGATTATAGGATATTTAGATTTGCTAAYATTAAATGATCCCTGCATTCCTGAGATAACCCAAATTACTCATGGTTTCTATATTTTTAAAAATTCTATTTGCTAATATTTTGTGCAGGCTATATTATTTTTAGAAAAAGAATAAGATAAGACTTTATCACATATATTATTGATTAAATATTAAATTCTAAAATTAATTTTAAAAAACACATACAATAAAAAAAATCACATTTGGTTCACAAAGGTATGGGCACATTCAAGGCCATACTTGTAAAGCATTTCACTTTTCTGATAATGGTGGGCTAGGTAATTTCTATGAACGCTTTTATTGAGAAAAAAATAGGTTAACTGAAAAAAATACAATGAAAAATTATAATGGAGGGTATTGAGGAGTACCAAAAGAAGTAAGAGTTCTGATGCCTAAATCTGAGTAGTTGAGGGATTGTTTTTAAAAGAATCAAATGATTAGGGAATGTAAATACTCAAAGCAGATGCTCCTTAGGCTTTATTTTAACATTCTTGAGTGAGACTGGGCTATAGTGGTTCATGCTTCTATTGATTGGGTGCCATCTGCCTCTCCTATGCCAGGTCCTTCTCTGTGTCCAGAGAAGCTGGATTGTTCAAACTCTAAAGACAGCATTGCCTCAGCTAGTACAACTGGGAAGCTGATCCTAGAAGAAATTTAAATTTAAATTGAACAAACCTTAGCTGAATCTCTACAGATCTGATAAAGTGTTAACCTTAAAGAAAAGAAGATTAATATAATTTGAATAGATTATAAGCTTCCCACTTACATATGAATATGCAAAGTACTATATGAAAGGTTGGTGCAAATATAGGTGTGACTCGGCACCTCAAATTGACAACATGAAAATATAGAAAAGTCAATTGCCCTAAGAAGGTGATGTGGGGGAAATAGGAAGACAATAGGATAAATGGAATGATTAATACTGGTTAGCCAAAATGAGAGTTGAAATCAATGATGTGAATATAAAAATACACAAGCAATTGAAGCACAAGGGAAAATCCATTGTTAACAGGGGTGAGAGTACCTGTCCAGTCTGCCTCCGTTTTCTCCTAGGTGGTGCTGATACTCCTCCGCTTCCCAAGAGAATGATCCCAGACTCATTCTTGGTGCTGAAGGACAGATTGATGTCTGTGCCTACATCAATCGACACAGGAACAAGTTCCACAAAACCAGGCTTGGGGAAGCTAACTATGTAAACGTTCTGGGTAAAWGGAGAAGAGGAGAAGAAATCATTAGAAATGAATTTTAATTTCTTCATCGCAGATGCTTCTTTCCACACAGGCCATGTGATTAGTAAATATACTGTGGTTTAGAAAGCATAAAAACCATTGTTATGTGGAATACTTAAATGCAGTTGAAGAAATATTATTTCTAGTTAGAACTTTGAATATTTCGAGAAGTTCGGGTTAAGATTAAAATGATGAGCTGGGCATGGTGGTGCACGCCTGTAATCTCAACAGCTCAGGAGGTTGAGGCAGGAGGACAGCCTCAACCAAAAGCAAGGCACTAAGCAACTCAGTGAGACCCTGTCTCTAAATAAAATACAAAATAGGGCTACAGATGTGGCTCAGTGGTCAAGTGCCTCTGAGTTCAATTCCTGGTTAACCCTTCCACCAAAACACAAACAAACAAACAAAAAAATMAAAATGATGGCCTTGGCTTTCAGTCTAGAACTTCTGATTAAAAACAGAGATCACTATTGACAGATAACATTTTCTTTCAGTTTAAGTCTACCTTGCTAGTCAGATACATTATTAAAATTATTATTAAAATTATTGAACCTATAATTTTAGCTATGGGGGAGGCCACATTGGAGAATTACTCAAGCGTAGGAATTTGAGATCAGCCTGGGCAACATAATGAGACTTTTGTCTCAAGAAAAAAACAAAACAAAACAAAACAACAAAATCCCTTCAAACAAAACACCTGACTACCTTGTAAAATCTCCTTGAAAATATTATAATCAATCCCTTGATTATACTCTATCAATTATTTTTTTGTTTGAAAGATGAGTAGAGCATGGTCTATGTCTCATTCTTCTTCTTGATGAGTCCACAAGCAAAATGTTCATTAGTTATYAAATATGTAAATACTTTCTGGAAAAAAAATTTAAAAATTGGAGCCTTAAAAACAAAACTTTAAAAATACTATTTTTTTCTCAAAATGAAAATTATACCATTGTTCTGACTGATTATAAAATTAAGCTGGGTGTGGTGGCTCATGCCTGTAATCCCAGTGGCTTGGAATGCTGGGACAGGAGGGTTCAAAGCCAGCCTCAGCAACTTAGCAAGGTCCTAAGCAACTTAGTGAGACCCTGCCTCAAAATAAAAAAGTGTTCCTGTGTTCAATCCTTGGTACCAAAAACTAACTAAATAAGTAAACACAATAAAATAAAATTAATAAACTATGTTTTAGACAGTAATCAAGTGCAAAATGGACAATCCCAAAGCTATGTGGAAATGGATCCTTTTTTTAAAATATTTTTTTTTTACTTTTTTTTCAATATCTTAATTTTGTTTGTTTGTTTATTTATTTATTTATTTATGTGGTGCTGAGACTGGAACCCAGTGCCTTACATGTGCGAGGCAAATGCTCTGCCACTGAGCCACAACCCCAGCCCCAAACAGAGCCTTTTTATAATTTATCCATTCATTCATTTTACCTTTCACAACCTTTACCCCTTTCTTTCTGCTCCTCCCTGCATTTAAACTGAATCATGGCAAGCATATTCATTTGGGATCTCTTTTGCATTGAAGTTTGTGGGCAATGTCTCTCTGTCAGTAAATACAGACCACCATTACTTTTAATTGCTGGGGGACTTTTTACTACTATCAATGTGCTTGCATTTATTTAGGCAGGTGCATGTCTTTGGGCATTTATGGCACTTAATATATTCATTTTTGAAGTTCTGAATTGCGCTGGAGTAAAAACAAGGGATCCTTTCATGTGGGCTGTCTTTTCCCTCCACAGTGTTTCAAGCCCAGTTCAATGACACAAGAGCAGGTAAAATGTGTAATCTACTTTCTATTCCAATTTTCAAATCACAGAGTTTTAGATAGTTCAGATAAAACTACTGTGCAGACATTTCAATATTTATCCAAATCAAATTTCTTCCTCACATTTTCCTCGTAAAATAATTTCTGGTTACTGCAAATCGCCTTTACAGACTCATCATTTCCATGCATACAGACTATTCATTTTCTGGACAGTTTTCCATCTTCATGTATATATCTTTTGAATGTGGATGAGAGTTAGGCTTTGAAGATTAAAATGCTCTGTAACATTTTCTTTAAGAAGCAAGTATGGATCCTTAAAGTTTTAATTCTTGATGTATTTCCATTTTCCTTCTTCCTAAGCTCAGGGTGAGTGTCTATGGCCAATTCTAAATTGGAGCCTGAGGCTATGAACAATGAAGTCCTGACAGTTCTGTTCCAGTCTTTAAACCTCATGGCTCTGAAGGCAGATTCACTCTTTCTTTTTCCCTGTCTTCTCTTCATTTCCTTGAACTTTACTGGAGTGCTTTAAAACTATTTTAATCCAAAGAAGCCGTCAAAATGAACAATTGTATGGTATCAGGGAAATTAAAAATTTGTGTGATATAGTTAACATTTTCTTATTTATAAAACTCACCACCATTGAATGCCTATAAAATTCTTATTAATGTTTTCTATTGACAATTGGCTTTTGTTTATGTTTCAAGAGAGCAGAGCTGTGTCCTCAGTCTTTCTCACATGTGGATCAACTCTAACTGGGGAGTCTTTGGAATAGTCAWGCGGAATCCAGGGCCTCTTACAAGAAAAAATAAATAAAAAATCAGAGATTCTGGAGATTTTGGCTAACAAAGACTTTCTGTTATGTTACAGAAGTCTTTGCAAAGTAGGAAGTTGCAAGTCCCCTTCTACATTACTTCAAAGACAAGGGGCTATACCCGAATGGGTATGGTACAAATTACTACTCTTTCTAAAAATGCTTAAACTCCTAATACATTCTCAAAAAAAATTAATGTTGCTAATAGAGCTATATATAATGCAGATAGATAAAACGAATCTAAAATAGATGACAGAAAATGAGAAAAAGTAGTGTTGGAAAGGAAGGGAGAACCAGAGATATATTAATATCAAAGATACATTTTCTTCATTTGGGAAAATGGAGCACAATCTCCATAACACAATTACCATCACAGAACTTTATAGAATGCTTCAATCTTGCTTTACCATTTATGTATAGCTAAGACCAGGATCTGTAGAAATATATTAACAAGAGCACCCAAACTAAGTAAATGAAAAAGTGATAGGGATGTGTTTAGGGAGGCTTTAAAAACAGACTAACCTCCAGCGAACATCCTTTGGTAACGCCAACGTAATCAGGACTACTGAGTATGTTGTATGGAGTTCTTGAAATTTCAATATCTTTGAGGCAGCCAGAATATTTCTTCACATTTACTTCTGGCCTATTGAACAGTCAAATGGAAAACAAAAGCAAAGTCATGAGTGTGATGGCAGCAACGTCTCTGACGATGGGAGGAGGTCATATGGAGCAAAGTGGCACATAGCTCAGTCCATGTCTATCAAACTGCTCATGCGCACATGTACCTAGCACACACCATGCTTTCCAATATCTGCTGGTTGACCACTCTGCAGAAGAAGTCTTGTTGTAGTTCTTATTCTCTTTAAAATAATTTCTCATAGTATTCCATACAAAGTACAGAAATTAATTGTTGTCTTCATGTGCATAATAAAGAGTTTCTTTTTTCCATTAAAGATAAGAAAATTATGAATAATCAAACTACACACAAAACATTTTTTAAAATTTACTTCAAATTTAGGGAAAATAGCTGGAACCATTAATTTTGAAAAAAAAAATTCTCTTAGTGAGATTTTGGAGAAGGCAGTTAAAGAATAATGAACATTTTTTAAAAAAGCTTTTAAGTAAAGCAAAGCCTAGAAACATTCTTCTGGGTTATGTAGCCTAAAAAACAGATATTTAAAAATTAAGTTACAAATCAACCCCAAAGTTTATATTCTATATTGGAGCAATAATGAAGCAAAGCAACTAAATGTAAAAAGAAAAATACATTATTTTTTCCTATAGGTTGGGAAGTGGCTTCTATACTCACACTAAACTTGAATGTTTACTTTCTGCTTACTGCTCTTTCAAACAAAGCCAACCTGCCAGAAGATTGGAAAATGAACCCTTTGCCTTTGAGAACAGCATGTTGCTCTGAGTTACTATGTGACATTATATATGTGATCTGACTTCTCCAGGACTCAGTGCACTTAGATATGAAGTGGACATGATAATAATAATGRGTAGTACCTGCATTTATCATGTTGTGAAATTTGGATAGGTCAAAAAAAGAGCACAGCACATGTAAGTGCTCAATAAACATAAACTAGCAGTATGTCCATGGTGCTGACCCCTCCTGAGTCTAAAACAGTGCTGTCCAACAGAAATTTCTGTGATGATGAACACATTCTATTCTGCACTAAGTCAAGTGTTACTAGCCACCTGTGGCTACTGGGACTTGCAAGGTAGCTTGTGCCAATAGGAACTGCATATTGATTGTTATTTGTTTTTAACTGAAAGTTAAATAGCCAATAGGGCTAGTGACAATTATGCTGAACAGTGAAGGTATATAGAGGTAAACATGCGATTTTTCCTTATGTAGTGTTAATATCTTGAAAAGTGTCCAGTCCACACCAATATTGTGCTTGATAGGGTAATGATTAATTCTCTCCTTAAAGTCCCCTGATGCCAAGTTTTTCTTTTTCATCTTAATAAAAAACACATGGCATGAGGAAAAACAGGTGGGAAAGCAAATTAGAACCTGGCAGTGTGTATTAGGTGATTTATTTCACGTCAGGTATTTATTCAGTCCCCCACCCCCAGCCCTCTCTCGCTCTGGAACTTTTCCTTTGATCATTTCCTTTGGTTCTCAAGGTCTCCTCCTCCTGTTCTTTCAGTTAGTAGTTCTGAAGAACATGCCTAACTGGAAGGTAAGTATTGAGCTAAGATTCTTCTTGTAAAAAGCAGAGGGAATAAGTGAATTTCATTTGCAGTGTTCATTTGCTTCCAAATTTTCCTTTAGGGGAAGAAAGATTTATCACAGTTTTCTCAGAAGTCTTGTAATAAAGTACATTTGTCCTACAAGTTCATTGTTTCATGGAAATATAAAGTACCATTTCCAAATACAATGACTTAGCAAGCTGAATGTTCTGAAAATCATGAGGGGTAAGTAACGACAAATGGAGATCAGATTCCTAAAGGTAGTCATAGGTCTCTGTTTCCTGAGGGTCACCACTCAAGGGCAAATTTCAAAGCTGCACAGTACCATTCCAGAGTTTTATTAACATATATTTCAACTGGAAGCCAGACTTTGCCTTTTAGTCATCTCAGCAAACAGATAGCATGATTAGTCTCATAACAGTATCATGATAAAACAACTGTTTCATTTTTTCCCACTTTCTGATATTAAGTCTGGCTTTGCTTTAAAATTTTCTTGGATCCATTAGACTTCATTATCTCCTATCCAGAAATTTGGCATAGTTAGGCTCTTAAATGCTAAGATACCACAAATCAGCTCTAGCCAGAGTGTGCCAACCCTGCACATCTCTGGGGTTGATGACTCATCTACAAAGGCTGYTAATTCCTGCTAATGCCTGTCTGTAAGTAAGAATTAATGCACCTGAGAAGGTAGGGGGACCATTCGAAAACTTCTTCACTGTTAATTCAAACAGTTGTTTTAAACAGTATTTCCAGAGATTCCTTTCACTTGGCTCCATAGCTAATTCTAAATAAACACAGCAACTACATAAGCAGCTTTGCTAAGAGGTGCAAAGGCCCCGTGGATATTTGCATATTTGCAGGCCTGCAAAAAGCAAGGAGGCAGTGATAAGCATTTGGGAGCACTGGTAGACTGTTCAGCAGACAGCCTGGCACCAGGGAAGCCAGAGTCTGGAGAATCAAGAGACCTCTTTGCTCTGTCCCCCTGGAACTAGATTGTGCCCATACACTTGAGCAGTGGTGCTTGGAGCATGTGCTACTGGTCAGGAGTGGAGCACTGCACAGTTGGTTGAACAAGTAAGCAGAGCAAATCTGTCGTTGCTGGTGAAATATCTCAAATTGCAGCTCAACTGATGGTGGGGAAGCAGCAGCATCTTTGTAAGCGAAGGGCAGCATGAGAACTCTCTCAGAATGCATTATTTGCTCATGAAATGTACTATGAATAAAGCTGCGCGGGTGTGGCTCTGCTTCTGCACTGCTGCTTATCTAAGAAGCCATATTTAGCCAACCCATGCACTTGAAGGAGGCATGCATAAATTTAAATTTTACCTTGCTTTCATACTAAGTCAAAGGGGGGAGAGAGAGAGAGAGAGGAAAAAAAAAACAATTTACTTATAATTGCATTTTCATTTAGCAAAACAATAAACTTTAACCATAAATCTTCTTTTAAAAAAAAACTCATCTCACAGAGAAGAAATTAAAAAACCTGACAGAATAGAAAATAGACATGTGCCCTTGACTGAAGTGAAATTAGAATTCAAAGATGACCAGTTTCCACACTTTTCTCTTGAATCATTTTTAGTTTGGAATATAAATTTAAAGTACTTATTCCATCAATATAATAAAAGGGAAAATGCACAAACATAGTGTTTATGAGAAGCTTATGAATACTGCTCTCAAATAACTTGAGCTTAACAAAATATCTAAAAAATAATTTAAGTTATTGGTTATTTAATAACTTAAATAACCAATAATTAATTGGTTCTTTTGTCAATCACAAATATACATCTAAAGATTATTCTGAAATAATATACCATACTACGATAATATTACAATTATAAATGCTATACTGAGAAAATTAAAAAAAAAATCTCAGCAAAGCAGATTCACTGGACATGTAGTCTCCAAAACAACTAAGACAAAATCTCTTCTCTATGAAATTACATATCCATGGTTGTAGATCGTTCCTAAAAATCACTTTATGATAATTAAAATCACCACTAGAATAAATGAAGATAGATATAGATAGCCTTTTTTTGAATGCACTCAGTAGAATATAGCTAATGAGTTTACAAAGATAATGTCCTGGTCTACGAGTTTTGATTCAGGAGAAAAACCTTTCAATTTGCATGCTACTGATGAGACTAAAGTTTCACTGCTCCATTAGGAAATAAAAAATAACTGACACCACACTTTTCCACTATAGTATTATGAAATTTCTCCAAATGTAATTTGTCTTTGTGGAGTAGGAACACCTAGATAGAACTTTTATACCCATTAAAAACTATCAAACTAAACAAAATACTCTGTATGTAGTAAACTCTAATGATTTATCCAAATCAACTCATTCCCTTCTAATCAAATTCATTTCACATTTATTAAGGACCAAATACTTTCTATTGTTTTTCTTATGTTTTATAATAAGCATGGCATTGACATTATGGTACAGAAGATTTYTGACATTTTTTTAGTTATTTTTTTGAACTGTCTAAACTATGAGCTAAAGATGTTTCCCCATTCTGCTCACTAAAAAGCATATGTGAAAAATGATGAAAATATTGGCRTGGGCATGGGAAAAACTAATACAGTTTTGTATTAGGCATATGGGAAAGCTCCAATATGCCATTATAATGCTAATGCTTAGCAATAAAATAGGTTATACTCACAGTATCCTGGAACACTGACTAATTTCCAGAACACTAAGCAATGTCAGAGTGCCATTACCTCCAGCGAATGTGCAAGAAGAACAGCAATTACAAGACCCACATTTGASTCTGGCTTCTACCTTTAATTACTTTCATAATTCTTTTCAGCAGGTGCATATAAGGGAAGCAGTGATTCTAATCCATCTCCTCAACAAAGATGTCAAACTAATCCTTTGATTTCTAAATCCTGGTGTTGTTCTAACATCCAACATGATTTTTTTTTTAATTAGACCTTTTCTGCTGCTAAAGGTTATATGGCATTCCTATTGTAATTAAACTTCAGAACTCTAGTGAGCAGAATGACCATTTAATTAAAAGTTAATCCTTCATTTTAAATATATGCTAAATTACCTCAAGTTTCTCAGGGTTGGCAGGCCACCAAAATATATTTTGTCATCTGCTTTCAAATCAAGACCAAAGTTGTTTCCAGAAGATGAAGTTGCTATGTTCTCCTCCTGGTTAGTATCTATATCTACAATGGATATGTTGGCTGTAAAGGAAATAGGAAGTTTAATTGGAGCAAACCAATCACACCTATATCATCACTGGTACTTCAAGATAAATTTAGTTCAATTCTGAAATTAACATTGACTTTATCAAGCACTTGTACTATATTTAACCATTTATTAATTGAAGACACAACAGTAACACCAATAGAATAATTACTGACCTTTCCACAAACAAGAGAGCATGAAAATAATGGCTTGAACGTTAAAAAAGGCACATCAATAAAAATAAAAGAGAGAAGTTTATCTGGACGACAAAGAACTACTTGCTATAGTTTTCCATAATATAGGTCAGTAGTCAGAAAATAAATTAGGATGGTGAAGTGCTAAGATGAATGTTAATTAGAAATTAATTTCTAATATTTATTAGAAATATKCTGTGGCTCTTTCTGTAAATGTCAGTGTTTGAAAAACTATTGAAATTTAGAGCCATCTGCAAAGTGGTATGCTCTTGTGTAATATGGTTGTGCATGGAAATGTTGAAATGAGGATCTTTGGTCCTGCAAGACAGTGGGACCCATGTCCATGCTAAATCATGTTTTAGACTTGAAAGCTGAATGTTGTGAGTGAGGGATAGTCCTCAGGCTTTATTGCTTTTCTCTTATGTCTCTCAAGGTATTACTCATGTGCTGAGGATAAGAATTCAGAAATAGGATAAAGGAAAGAAGAGTCATTCCTCTGCTTAGACTGCATTGTTTAGCAATGAAAATTCTTTATCATTGATTTTCCTCCCTCATTTGTAAGCGTCAAGCTGGGATTTTTCTGAATTATGTGCTTTCTCACCACACTATTTACTTCAACCTCTTCACCCAGTTTGGATCCTTGCTGTACATTCAGTTCATTAACATGATAGATTTCACTTCTTTGTCTATGCCTGATGCAGAATCTGAAATATCCCAGGGTTGAACATGGGCACTTTCACCAGTTGGTTATAATGGAATTTCTAAATGTTAATTCTTTAGATTGTAGTTTCTTGGATGTTCCTGGCTCAAATATATTTGGTAAATACTGGGTAAAACAAAGTTAAACATATATCTTAACTTTACAGTTATTTTAACATACTAATATGCAGTGCAATATTTCATAAGAGCAACATAGACTAAGAAGTATTTGACTCTTATTATTTCCTCTCAACTCACATCTTTTAGAATTGATATTATTGGTAACTATAAAAATATTAAATTCTAAATTCTATTGTAGCTGATAGTGCTACCATTCCCAAGGGATGTATCTTCAATAAAATCAAACACAATTGCCACGTAAAAAATGACTCAAATCAATTTCTCAAACCTATTGGTTCCTCAAATTCTCAAAGCAGACGTCTATAAAAACAAACAAATCAACTAAAAAGAACAATTATCCTATTAAAAATAGTTAGCAAGGGAAGATTTTATAATTTAATCATGTTCATAAACTTTAATTTTGTACAAATATTTAATTACTTTAATAAATATAATTAGTTTTTCATACATATATCTTTTAAATTAGACTGGTGGGTAAAAGAAAATAGATTTATAAAACTGTTTCCTAGACTTCTTCATACATATTCCTTTTTATCTAGATCACAAAGAAGTTTTTATATGGTGCTGTTGACTGGAACATGAAAATCGTCTCTTTCTGCAGACTTGGTGGATATTTTAATGGTGTCTGTGAAATGAGATTCTGCCTCTATCACTGRCAAGCCAGGGATGGGAGGTAGTTTTCTTCCTTATCCTTGAGTGAATATATGCATTTTTAGAAATCACTCTAAGGAAAATTGATTAAAGAGCAGCAACACAATTCAATTGAAACTCACTGGCCCAGGAGTTCACTCCCGCAGGGAGGTGCAGGACGGCATATTTTTGTTAAGTTAGTTTGGGGCTTTATCCTATCCTTCATATGAGATAGTGACCAAAGTGGATTCCACCGGGAAATGCTAATATTTCCTTTTATTTCTTGTGCCATTTCCTTTCCTTACAGAATAGAAAAATAAGCTATTTATACCAAATTTCAGAGTTGATGAGTTCGGTCATCATTTTTATAGGTAAGCAGGGAAATAAGAGTTTTCATTAAATAACAGACACTTAGTAGGGGCTTAACAAGTAATTTTATGATCAGTGCTGAGTTGTTATATGCTAATTATTTTTACTTTGGTAATTCTTTTTTTTTCTCTCTCTCTSTTAATTTATTGAAAACCTATATAATTGTTCTTAGCTTTGCTTCCATACCAATGCACATSGGGGATATGAGATTATTAGTGATTATGGTTCTACTGATTGACTCCCAGGAAGATGGGGAATGCCCCTGAAGGACTGTATTTGACTTTCAAGGAGGAATAGTTTTATAAGTTAGTTGAGAATAATTAATATAAAACAACTAATCTGGTTATTGAAAAGAAGCAATAATCCAAATTGCTAAAGCCTTATTTCAATTCCTATCCCACTATGCTGTAGAGTATGATATTGCTAAAATCCTTGAGAACACCCCACTCCCTGACACCCCTCACCCCCTTTTCCAGACCCAGTGGAGTACTTTTGGTCCTCATCCTAATCTTTATGCAATATTTGATGCTACTAGCATTCTCAATATTTTGATGCTACGAGTATACCCCTTCCTTCTAGAAATKTCTTCTTTTGGCTCCCAGCATCTTACGCTTTTTAGCTTTTGTTCTCATTTGCCATCTCCTTCCCTGTTTCTTTAAACATTTCTGAGATTTCCATGTTCCCTAATGCCCTTCCTTTTCTCACTTCTGTTTCATCCATCTGAGTAAATTCAAAGTTAACTCAGACTTAATGTGTTGATAACTTAAGAATATGACTGTACCTGATTTTTTCCTAAAAATACAGTTTCAACAGGGGAAGTAGTATCATTTGTGTTTTCCTTCAGTACTAAACATATTCCAAACCAAAATGATGATATTTTTACTCCCAAATATCTATTACCTATTTTACTTGGTGGCATTATGTCTCCCCTTTCAGTCTCCTAAACTAGAAAAGTCACCCTACCCATCATTCACATCTAATTCATCAACATCCTTACTGATTTCTCCTTCTAAATAATGATATTTGTATTATTTTTAGAAACTTTTACCAACATATAATTGACACCTTATACTTTGCCCATGATTAAAATACGCAATCTAACAAGTTTTAAAATTCTTCATACCTATGGAACCCACCACCACAATAAAGAAAATTAACATATTCACAACCCAAATGTGTTCTGTTGCATTGTAACCCTCATTCCCAACCCTCCCTGCATGCCCTATCTATAGGTAGCCTCTATTTGTTTTGTGTGGCTATAGATCAGTTTTCATTTTCTATATCATTTTATATAAATGTATGTTTTGTTTGCCTTATTTTACTCATTAATTATTTTTATATCAAACCATTTTGTATGTCTATTCATATTTTATGAACCAGTAGAATTCCATTGTACGGGCACATAACAATCCATGTATTTCCATTTGCCTACTGATGAATATTTGGTTTCTTTTCAGTTTGGGGACATATCAAATAAAGGTAATATGAATATCATGGCATAAGTCTTTGTATGAATATATGGTTTTAGGTGTTTTGAGTGAATGCCTGGGAATGGGAATGGCTGTTTCATAGGTGGGGGAACCTACAACCTGTTTGCTAATGTTCCTGTGCCATTTTATATCTTCATTAGCAGTGTATGAGGGCTTCAGTTATTCCACATCTTTGCCAGAACTAGTTATGATCAGTCTTTTAAATTTTAGATTTTTTTTTCTTTTGGTACCAGGAATTGAACTCAGGGGCATTCTCTACCACTGAGCCACATCCCTAGCCCTATTTTGTATATTTTATTTAGAGACAGGGTCTCATTGTGGTACTTAGCATGTTGCTTTTGCTGAGGCTGGCTTTGAACTTGCAATCCCCCTGCATCAGTCTCCCAAGCCACTGGGATTACAGGCCTGTGCCACTACTCCCAACAAATTTTAGATATTTTAATAACCATGCAGTGGTATCCTATTTTGGATTTATTTTGCATTTTCCTAACATTGAATCCTACCGTAACTCTTATTTCACTGTTTATTAAGTGTGATCTGTGAATACTGATATTGAAGTAAATAATTACATTCTTGTATTTTATTGAGATTTTAATTCCCAACTATAACTAGGAACTATTTCCTTATAACTTTTGTGTCTTTTTCTGTTTGAGCTTTAATGCTTTTATTTTTAATAGAAAAAATAATTTATGTTGCTAGAATAATAAAATGCTTTAAAAGTATCATGAAAATGAGGAACAACCAAAGGCAGGAGAAACCAGAAGTTTTCAACCTAATATAAGAATCTGAGTTCTGAACAACAGAAGTTTTTAGGATTTAATGTGATTTTTTTGAGGGGCAACAGGGTTTGAACTCTGGAGCACTCGACCACTGAGTTATATCCCAGCACTATTTTGTATTTTATTTAGAGACAGAGTCTCACTGAGTTGCTTAGCACCTCACTATTGCTGAGGCTAGCTTTGAAATCATGATCCTCCTGCCTCAGCCTCCTGAGCTGCTGGGATTACAGGCGTGAGCCACTGCACCTAGCTTAATATGATATTTTTTTAATGGTGATAATATGGAGATACATGAGAGCAGTTTATAGGATGATTTATGTCATTAAGACCTAAAATAAAAGTGAGAATGATTGCTAGTACATTTGATAGTATTTAAGAATGCACACATCAATGTCAGTCTAGAGTTAATGTGAACAACATGATGGAGATATGTGAAAGAGAAGGTATCAGTTAATTGAGCCAAAGGAATCAAGCTAGAGAACAGGACTCAAGCAGAGGATACTATATGGAAAAGAAAAGACAAAGTCCTTCAGATTTTTGGATCAGAGAGTASAAACAATGTAGGTCTAGTGAAATCTGGAAAAATTGCACCAGTGGAGGAAAGAACTTTTCACTTTTCACATTGAGTTACAATAAACCAAAAACATATTTTAACTGCTTTCAAGTTTGTACAGTATTATAAGTCGACCTTTGACTAACATTATTTAAGACTACAGGACTCTTGATCACTCACTTTATTGGACAGAGAGTCTACATATTTGACTGATTATAGAAACTGGTATTTCCAAGAYTTATAGAAATTATTCTGCTAGGTAGGCAAATCATTTCATCCTGATTTTTTTTTGCATTCTAGATTTATCTTTTTAACACATTATTATCTTTAGAGTTTATAGCACTAGGCAATTCAGCCAAGTGTTCCTGAGTTTTTCTTTTTTACCTTTCCCACAGTGTATATATGGACCTTTTCCTTTTTTCTTCAGACCTATTATTCTTCTATCTCTCACCTTTCTCTAGTCTCCATTTATTTTCTACTTTTATAGTCAATGAAAAATTAGGACATCTGGAGAGAATAATCTCAAAATCCCATCCCATAGCTACAAACTTATCTCTAACTTTACTTCTTCTTTCATCTTGTCTCTGGGAGCAAAGGTTTCTTTCTGTCTCAGATTGAGCCCTCTCTTTCCACATGGGTGCAATGCTCTCAGGCTTTCTAAGGGCTTGCTCATGCTGTATTCATTATTTCTTTTTGTATTTCTAATTGCTTCCTCTTCCTCTAATTGCTGCCTCTTTCTCCAATTGCATCCTTTGTAGCCTACAGACATGATCAAGAATCATTCATTCAATCTACTCCTCAAGCACTTATTGAGTAATTACTATGTGCTAAGAACTGATGGAGAAAAATAACATTTTTCTCACCTGTGATCCGATCCTTGCCTTCAAACTCCATAACCCCCATTTTTGCTATGACCCTTTCTTTCTTCTGGATTTTAGTGCCAAACTTTCTTMAGAATCAGTCTACACTTATGGTGTCTGCTTTCCCATAGTACTTTATGACCTAAACTTGCTCTTGACTCTCACAGTGGCCACTTCACCATTTTTTCCAAAGCCCCCAGTGATGATGGATATCTTTTTAATATTTGTGTTTTCCAGGGCTTTGGGCCATTTTATTCTAGACATAACTGCTTGGATTTTTCTCATCGCTATTCACAGGCAACTACTGAGATTTAATGACGATTCCCAGTTGTCTATCTCTTACAGAACTCTGTGATCCTCAGATACATATAACTAATTCCTGCCAATTACACATTTCCCTAGGCTGCTGAAGGTACTAAAAGTACCTTGTGTACCGAATGTCCAAAATAGAACTCAGCATCTTTTCCAGAAACCTGTTATTTTCCCTGTATTTAAAAGCTGCTTGAGGGGCTGGGGATGTGGCTCAAGCGGTAGCGCGCTCGCCTGGCATGCGTGCGGTCCGGGTTCGATCCTCAGCACCACATACCAACAAAGATGTTGTGTCCGCCGAGAACTAAAAAATAAATATTAAAAAATTCTCTCTCTCTCTCTCTCTCTCTCTGTCTCTCCTCTCTCACTCTCTCTTTAAAAAAAAATTAAAAAATAAAAGCTGCTTGAATAGCACTGACATAATCTTGTTATCTAAGGAAAAACAAAACAAAACAAAAAAGAAATCATTCTATAACTTTTTTTTTAAGTTAGCCTCCACATGGTGTATATCACAAAAGTCTTCAGTTTTAAGATACTTAATACCTTTCAACTCCATTCTTTCTTCTCCATTCTCACAGCCATTAACTTACTTTTCTTTCTTCTCACTGTCTACCTGGTTTACTGCATACTGCGGAAGCATCCTAAACTGTCACTAAAATGTAAATCTGATGATGTTACTTCCTAGGACCCCTATAGTTCTGGAAAGCTAAACACATTCACTTAGCTTGCAAGGCCCTTTATGTACTGGCTTTGTTACCTCAGCCTTATCTGATAATTTTCTGCCAACATTCATCCATTGAGCCTAAGGATTCACTTACAGTCACTAATTTGTTTCCCAAAATGTTTCACAAAATGCTAGTACTGCAGGAATGGATGTTTTTCTGTGATTAAGTGAGTTCGGGGAAAACTTGGTAAAATGAGTTAAACATTATTACTGAACAACTAAGCCAAGCCTGGAACATGCATCCATCATACATGGGAGCAAGGTATTTGTCAGAATTCCAACAGAAGCTCAAAATTAGTTTTTGTCTTAATAACACTCCAAGGAAATGTAGCTGGGAAATGATATATTCTGCTCTCTGATAGTGACAGACCTTCCGGTAACTTTTTCACCACTCTGAAATGTCCTCCTGTGCCTTTCATCCAGCTAACTCTTCAACTCCTGCTTGAGCTTCAGGGCCACTGCCAGGACGTGACCTCTCCTTTCCCTTAAACAATAATGTCTTCCCTTCCCTTAAACATTGACATCTTCTTATGACTATTAATCTGCTACATGCATCTCTATCAGCAATTAGTGCCGTATAGCCTCTGACCACTGAATCTTGTCTAACTCACCCAGTAGACTGCAAGCTTGTTGAAGGCAAAGGCATGTTTTAGTATGTAGTGGGTGACTAGCAGAAATTTGTTAATTGCAGGAATTAATGATGATACAAAGTTAAATCTAAATTGTCATGCAATGTTACATGAACATCATCAACATTAATTAAGTCTAATTATATTAGCAAATAATAAATGCTTCATTTTAGATATAGGTAATACCACAGTACACAGAATTCAGGGAATGATACCTAAATAGCAATAGCACCATGTTAAGAATAAATAGACCTGGCTTCCTGCCTTGGTTGTGGAATCTTATGTACACATGACTGCAACCACGTATTAAGTTTGTGTATTTCCCTTTTTCCAGAAACAGAACAAAATACCTCCTTATGTTATCAAACAAAATAATGTTTGTAGAAGTGTTTTTAAAAGTCCCAGAACCATACAAATGTCATTTTATTGTTAATCAATTATTTACTCAAACACATACAGATCTTTTTGACATTTCTAAAGAGCAAAGATCTGGTAGCTATGCTCTTCCACCCCTACATGTTCTACTGCAGAATTCTTTAAAGGAAACATCTTGAAAAACTGAAAATAACAGAAAAGCACACAACATTTTTCAAGCCTATTATGGGATATAATTTTACAAGTTGTAAGACAGTTTTATGCTTTCAAATTAAGCTCTCAGTTTCAAAAGAAAATGACAGGGAAGCATTTGGCTCTTCAATCAGTCTTGTCTAATCCAAACTACCTATAACGAAGCCAAGAAATGACTGTATCAATTTTTCTCAGAACTTGTGAGTAGCTGAAATTACACCCAGGGTCTTTCTCCTGATTAGGTTCATGGGTACTTTGGATGGCATGATTAAGGCCCATACTACATTATTACTATAAAAACTCACCTTGTTTTTGAATTCTTGACAGGGTGAATGATTTCCATCTTCCATCATTATGGTTTTGATTGCTGACAACGGAAGCCATTCCTGACCCCAGATCATAGCTGACTTTTATGTGCCCATCACTGAGCTCTACACTCATGAAATCTTTCTATTAATAGAGTAAAAAATAATACATCAATGATTAGACACACAGAGAAACATATGGGTATTCACTTTTTTTATGGCATTTATAATAGGGCCTTGTCGCTAAATTGCTCAATATGTTGCTCGGTAACAGAAATACCCTTTGGAAATAGAACTCCTGTTAATATTTTGTGAATTTTCATGGATGTTATGTTATGGTGCAAATCATCCCAAACAAACTGTAAGACGTATTCTATCATTAGAGCACTACAAAGTGGGTTCCTTTGAAACATGTTAAGTAAACAAAAACGCAGGTTCCCTGAAAAAAAATTGCTAAGAAATATTGACCTGAAAAAGTAAGGGCAAAAAAACATTTAGAATCACCTTTCAACTTAGTTCTTTGGAAAAAAAAAAAGAAAATAGTTTTTCTGCTGTACAATTTTATACTGGGAAAATATTTACTGTCTGCTTCTCTTAAAGGATTATATAAGAAGTTATATTGAAAATAAATGACAATTAAATTGTATCCATAATTGAAGTTATCAATAAAAATATATAAGCATCATCTGCAGCACCCACCTTTGACTACCATATAGTCATCCCAGACCCATTTTTTATATTTTTAATTGTAGTTGGACACACTACCTTTATTTTRTTTATTTTTATGTGGTGCTGAGGATCCAACCCAGTGCTTYCCAAATGGTAGTTGAGCACTCTACCACTGAGCCACAACCCAAGCCCATCCCAGACTTTTTAAACAATAACTGATGATTTTTACAAATAAGTGATAACTGTACTGGAATTTTACAAAAAGAAGCAAATACATTATCAATTATGAAAACTCTGACTGTGCATGTTTTCTTTACCAGGTCTCTTGTGGCAAGGTACATGAGGAGAGCACTTGATGAAAATGTCCGGAACTTGAACATGACAGTGGAGATATTGGGGTACCAGCGAATGGGGCGGCTGACCAATGCATAACCTTCTCCATCAAACTGAATAGTCCCTTCACTGTCTTCCACCTGAGGACTGAAAGGAAACATCTCACATGAATTAGACCTACTCTGTCCATCATCATTCAATGTATCAAACTGAGACTAGATTGTAAGCTTTGGTAGAGCAGAAACCATGCCCAATATGTCTTCTATTCTTCTGCTTCTCACCACCTCTACTACTATCATTTTATAACAAAAAATAACCATCTTTCACCTGGACTTCATTAGGTGTTCAAAAGTAGGTAATAATGGGTACTTCAAATTTTTTTTATGTTTAGATGATGCAATTGGTGAATAGTTATATTGGTGTTTAAGCTTATCTTATTGCTATTTGTGAAAACTGGTGGAGTTTGGGGATAGGTTGAAAGTCTATAATTAGACTTCCCAAATGCATAATATAATGGACTATCAGACCCCTAATCTCTGAATATTCACCATCCAGTAGATTTTCTTAGAACAGATTAGACTTCAACAATGAAGGATGCCTGTATTTAATTGTGTATTTTTTTTAATCTGTGTCCTTCACTTCTAGAAGCTCTGTGAGACCATCTAGAAATTACAGGCCAGTCCTCATGTGATGGGATTCAACATCTACGTAGCATTTGGCTCAAAGAAGCCAGTATGCATTTGTAGGGTAAAGAAGATTTTAGTATAGACAAGTTCTTCAAGAGAATACATGCTTACTCAGTATTGATTGAATAATTATACCTAAGTCTTGTGGTGCAGTTTAATTTTTTTTCAAATGATGTTATATATCTACCTATCTTATCTATTTAATCACTATTGATATCATGGGGATATTGTTTTAAACTTACAGTATCTGCATGTTAGGATATATTTAATCTCTGAACCTGGAGTGTTGTATCAGCTTGAGCATAGAAAGAGAGATTGAGAAATATTATTGTATTATCATTATAAAACAACAGGAGTCTAAAATACTATTTTTATGAAATAATGTTTAATGAGAAAATATATAGTGAACAAAAACTTAATGGGCTTGTGTAGAAAGAGCTGTTACATACTTAGCATTCTGTTCCTGGACTAGAGAGATAAAAGCACTAAAGATAAAGCAAAAGATGCTTTTTCAATACTCATGAGAAATGCTAACTGGAAGACTGAGTAAATCAACCTCTTACGAGTAGAACTGATAGTGAATAAATTGGCTATTATGACGCCTTCCTTCATGATGATAATGAATACATTACTTTCTGGAGCAATGCATTAGTGATGAGAAAATGTTGCTGAAAATCTACCTAGAAGTTCCCTAAAGTTCTCAATTACTAGAATTTTTCATTATATACAGGTAGGTTACCAATGCAACCCAAGAAAGAGTTGTGGGAATCCCTGTTGACTGTTTTATTGATACTTTGGCCCAATACAGTGTTACTTATAACTTTAAAAAATATCCAAATCAAAAACATTAAAGTCTCACAATACAAGGTGAGCATAGGTTGGAGAATCAAAACAAAAATATTACATTTTATTTTTCATATACAAAAACTTTGAATACTTGTACCCTGGTGTCCTTATGTCTCTAATCTACCAACTCCCTCAACAGGTAATAGAAAAAACAACAGATTAGATGGCAAGTACCCTGGAGTCTACTATGAAATCTCATGAAGGTCTTGCTACAAGTCTCTAAATAGTTTCATGTCTAAGTTTCTCAACTGTGATATTATAAGTTAGATCACTTATAGGATTCTTAAGCCCCTTCAACTCTAACGCTGAGGAGATTCTCTTACTAAAGCAATAGACAAACTAAGGAAAAGAGTTTTGTGTAGAAGTGAGTGGCATACAGATAGATGTACTTAATTATTCGATGATAATAGCCTAAAAAACAATTCTAGGCTTGGTGACTTTGGGATGAGGGACAACAAATTCTTCCAGGTATATTCTGTAATAATTCAACAGCTAACATTATACTAGATTTTTCCTAAATTGATTTTGAGCACATTTACCAGAAAAAGTAACTAGTATATTAATAACTGAAAGCATCTTAACTTCCCTTATTTTTCTCTGTTGAACCTGGATGTTTGGTCAAGTTACAAAGGATTAACTGTGCTATTTTGAAACCACCATTTTATTCTGYAGTTAACAAGCAGTTATGTATGATGGCTTTTGGTATTTAAAATTTCATCATAATTTTAATGTTTAGCTAAATACATTTTACTTTCAGCATTTTTTTTCTGTATTTTAATCTTAATGTGATTTTTGGCAGTTTAAGAAAAATGAGATACATTTTAAAATATACCATTGACAAAGTAATCTTTCCAAAGTATAACAATAATTATAACCCTTCTATTGACTACTGAATAAATACAAATTTCTAAAACTGACACTCTAGGTCTTCTACAAAGTTTTCCAATCTAGTTCTTTTAGCTTCATGTTTTACATCTTTTCTAAAAATTCACTTTTGCCCTTTAACTGGAACAATTGGTCATTATGTTAAAAATGTGATCCGTGTTTTCCTGAAAAGAAAACAGAACACAAACAACACCTAAAGCTCTAAAAAATGATTCTTAAAAATACCAGTGTTTATGAGAAAATAGTTTGGGGAAGATCATTCAAAATTTATGCAACCACATAATCAAAGCATTCACAAAAAAAAAATGACAGTCCTAATAAAAATATTTGCACAGCTCAAAAAGATACATTAAAAAAAAATCTAAAAACAGAGAATCATTCCAGAAACAGAACTTCACCTTCAAAGGAAAAGGTGAAGGTAGTTAGACTACCTGGAGTGTAAGGAAGGGTTGACCCTGCAGGGTGACCATGTGCTCAAAATGCACTGTGATAGAGGAGAACTGGGCAATGAACATTTCCGAGCTGGAATGCTTTGCCAAAGCCAGCTGAGGACAAGTGTGCAGGTGAAATGGCTTTGTATGCAGGCTGCACTATGGGCTCGGTATCCTGATCTCAGCGTCCGCAGACTGTTAGGTTGCTTTGCATTCTGCTATCCTTACTTGACATGCAAAACATTAACCTGATGGGAAGGACTGGGTACAAACCCATGTGACCTCTGTWTGTTACTTGTATTGTTCTCCCACTAACCAATCCTGTATGAGCAAGTTCACACTTRTTCAGCATTTTACAAACTGTAGACTGGCTTTTCAGCCTCCCCACATTTTCTTTCCCTGATCTCTGGGACCAGAATGTTCTCCAAATTCCACATCTCACCTGCTCTCTCCTCTTGTTGGACTTTTATCCCATRTTAAGGGCCACCTCAAATGTTGCCTCCTCCACTAAACAGATCTTGATGCCTTCAACCTGATGTGAACAACCTATGTACACTTGGTACCTTTTAAAAGGGATTTTTAAAAATAGCTTATATTTTAACATTTGGCTTTTCTTTCTTCCTGGTGATAAATTTCTTGATATCTGGAACAAGACTGGCTTCATCCTAGTATCAGGTAATTGTATGCATGAATCTTTTAACCTACAAATTGCCCTATGAATATATAGGAATTCTATTATTATTATTATTATTATTATTATTATTATTAATTTCAATTAATATAACACATTGTAGGTTGGAAGTACAATATCTTTGCAGAATTAATAATTAGTGGTGTTATAGTCCTATCTGATATGCACAACTCAATAGATATTAAGTGCTTTAGATGTTTTGTTGGTAACAGGCTTCTGAAAATTCTACTTAGAAATTTACCAAAGATACRTAGAAAAAAGTTGGTGTTTCTTTGTGAGTAGTAAAACATTAAAACAGACCTCATCACTTTTGTTGTAGTGAAAGAATTTTACAGATAACCTTCCATATTAAATTTTATTGAAGATTATTWAAAAARTATTTTAAATARGTCAGGCTTTCAAACTATCCTCATGYTGTGTTGATAAATTCAAGATGCCAAAAAGAAAGAGAGTTGGAAGTTTAAATTTTCATAAGGAATTACTTTGGARCTACTTTCTTCTATGCAACTCTAAAAATGCTGAGAAGAAAATGTACAGTGTATTCTGGCATTTTAATGAGTGACTTGGGTTTTGAAAGTATGCATGTGCCCTTTAAATTAGAAGTAAAAAACTTTACAAACTCCTTAGCACTTTTGAATTGCTATGTATATCACATTAAATGTTCCAGATATTTAATTTGTGTTTTATAGCTTCAACTTATTATAATGAAATTATTTTATGATAGTGTAACTAGAGGACTCCATTTTTTTATGCTGAGAAATCCTCTACTTCTAGCTAATTATTTTATATCCTGTATTCAAGTTTATATAAAAATTTGTATTCTTGCTAGGAGCAGGGGTGACATATCACCTGCCATCCCAGTGAAKTGAGAGGCTGGAGAAGGAAGATTTTAAGTTCAAGACCAGACTCTGCAATTTAGTGAGACCTTCATTAAGTGAGTAAAACCCTGTCTCAAAAAATTAAAAAGTATTAGGAATATGGCTCAGTGGTAAAGTATCTCTGAGTCAATCCCCAGTACAAAAAAAAAAAATTATTCTTCCTACATTCTTTGTATACTGTTGTATTTTCAAACTTCTATTCCAGCCTCTATCTTATAGTGGATGAYTTGTAACATAGAATTTCTTCTGGTCTGTCTAGACCCCAGATTCGTCTCCTATAAACAGAATCTTRAAGTCCTGTGGTTTCCACTGAAAACATTCATAGGAAATTGATAAATGTACTGCTAGAGTACCTCCCAGGACCTTAAAAATACCTRTATAAATCAGAAGCAAGAACTAGAAGTTACATTAGCTTTATGGTAAATCCACCTCTGTATAATCATTTCAAAACAGCTCCATATTATCTATGTGACAATATAATTTTACACTGTAAAATAAAAACTTTCATGACACACAGAACCATTCTCAGGGGAGTTCTCAACTAACCTTACAGTACATCCTTTGCAGTCACCTTCTTTTTCTCGGAAATTCCACAAACCTATAGGTTTACCATCAAAGTGTGTTTCTCCCATACAGCCAGTGAATGTAATCACACGCACAGCATCGGCCTTCTGCAGAGAAAGGTATTGTACTTGTTAAAATTAAGAATTTCACAAATAATCTCCCAGTATCTGCAAGAATTACCAACAGTAGAAGCTAGACTAGTTATTATCTATTTTTCTGATATTCTTAATTTCACATCTACTCTTCTTTTAACAACATTATATCACCAAAGTTACTCCAAGATGGCTCAAAATAAAGGGGTGATGGAAGCTCAAATATTTCATCTATAGATGCTGGTTACTTTTTGTTGTACCACTTTATCCCCATTGATGAATGCAATTGTCCCTTGGTATTCACGATGGTTGGTTCCAAGACTCCCATGGATACCACAATTCTTAGAGGCTCAAGTCCCTTGTACAAAATGGGGTAGTAATTGCATATAAACTTGACGCATCCTCCATATACTTTAAATCACTTCTAGATTGCTTATAAAGCCTAATATGACATAAACACTATGGAAASAGTTGTTATACTGCATAGTTTAGAGAATAATAATAATAATAAATCTGAATCTGGACATGTTTAGTACAAATGCAACTTTATTTTCTGGATATTATTGATACTTGGTTGGTTGGATCTTAGATTGGGGAACCCACAGATATTGACAGAAGTCTATAAACAATTTCTAGTTTCTGCTGAAGTTCTCTACATTTTWATTTTTTGGTCTACAACATGGGTTTATTGTGGGAATTCAATTAGATGATTTCTTTATGGTACCAAGCTCAGTGTCTGGCATAGAATAGTTGTTTAATAAGCACTACTGCACCTACATGATTTTCTGTGGGCAAATCTCGACCACACATACACTAAGAATATTTCTCTCTTGAGAGCATGAGAAAGATTGATAACACAGGGAGAAGGGAAAAAAAGAACACACATATCCTTATCATTTTATAATAGGGCTGCCTTTCACTTTTCATTTCTATTCATAACCAGGTAGGTCTCCAGTTCAAGAGAATGAAGAAAAAGAAGCAAATTTGTATGAAAAGGACCATACAAGTTATGCTTGCTGGTATTTCTAGCACAGGCCTCAGGGTCTAAGAGGGCTMGATAAAAATCTGCTGAATGCCAATCTTGATGTTGTTCTCACAGGGAAASGCCATATGCTTCATACATACCACTACTGCAAAGGAGGAAAGTGACCCAGTTCACTTTAGAGATCCTTGRTGTAGTTTAAACAACTTAACATTTGTTTAAACCTTCATGTATTACAGATAAATTCTAAATTTGGGTGCTTTACAACTTTAGAAACGCTGCTAAAGCTAATCCACATTACTTGAATTATCTGGAAATAAGGGTAGATTGACATGTTYGAGTTTTAGAATGAATGTAAAAAGATGGTCAATGAATGGCTAAAAATTTTTAGTTATATCTTTATTTAAACCCATCACATGAATATCTTCTTATCAATGTGCCTGTGTGGAAAGAATGTTGATCAGAGCCCCTGATATTACAAGTCAGAATGGTCCTTGGAATACTCCCTCAGAACATTTTCCAGAGGTTGATTATCCTACTTGTGGATTCTTTTTGTGTCTCCTTGTATCATAAAAAGCTATACTTGAGAAATTTTCCTGCTCATTTGAATTTTCATCATCAAGTTCATTTAGTTACTTTTTTTGTAGCTTTGACTCATATTCTCATGTGACAGGAGTCTTGAAACTCTTGGCCAAAATGGTTTCTTAAGATTTTCTATAGATTTCATTTGTCTACTTTTTTTTTTTTCCTGAGACTGACAAAAAGTTGCTTTGTGCCAGTGACAACTGCATAGTAAGACTTTATTTAAGGTGTGACTACCTTGACTTGGGCACTGGTCACCTGATTGGTACACATGTTCTCCCTACTCATCTTAGCAGTAGAGCATGGTGATTAAGAGAGAGACTCCTGTGCTTGTTAACCTGTATTCAAATGCCCGCTCTGCCGCTAAGTACTGTGACCTTGATCAGGACAGTCACTTCTCTCTTATTAGACTCCTTAACTATGAAATGAGGATATAAATATCTATCTGCTATGACTTAACATCTATGTCCTCCCTACCTCACTGCCCAGTTCTTGTGTTGAAATACTGATTCACAAGGCATTWGGAGGTGAGGGACTTCGAAGGTGATCAGATCATAAGGGTGGTGCCTCTATGAATGGGTTTAGTGTCCTTATAAAACAGGTATAAGGGAACATACCCCACCCCCTTCTACTACGAAGACACAGCAAGAATGTTCCTTTCATGTGTAACAGGCACCCATTAGACATCAAATCTGTTGGCATTTTGAGCTTAGCATTCAGTAATTTTCTGCTTATTAGCTATCCAATGGTAATTTTGTTATAGCAGTAATTTTATGGTAATTTTGTTATAGCAGCCCATACAGACAGACTAAGACATAATTTTTGGAATGTTTGTGACGATTAAATGAGTTAATTCATGTAAGATACTTAGAATATTACTTAGTGCACACTGTTTAAAAAGTGTTATAAAAGCACATTATTGTTTACTACAATAAAAAAGCAAAATGGATATTTTTATCACCCTTTTCTAGTTGAGAAAATTGAAGCTCAAGGGGTTAAATGACTTGCCTGAGGTCATATTTTAGTAAGTGGTTGAGGAGGGATTCCAAGCTGGATTTGATTTCAAAATTCATGGCTTTTGTACCACTGTGTGCTACACCTATATTTATCTTTCTAGGAAGCAGAGAGACTTGGCAATATGACTATATGTTATTATGTGCCACATATATTTATATGTTGTTCTAGGAAATGAGGATGATTTTAGTCTGTATTTGTGGAATCAATTCCCATGTTTTATAGTCACATCTCGTATACAAAGCAAACAAAGCATCCTTGCTCTCTATGCAGGTTGAGTTCTCATAAATTTGGGGTCACCCTGACTTTTCACATTTTCTGACTAATCTCATCCCAGGGTGATTATGACTAGTCCAGGATTAGCCATTATATTTGGTTGTACTCTTGCATATCACCCACAGGTTGTTTTTCAATACCTAATTCCATTTAATCAACATAAGCTTCTTTAAAATGCAGGCACTTTGCAATTTGAAATGCACGAGGACCTGTCATGAAGCAATTATGAATATTAAGTGCATTACTCTGAGAATGAGAAGAGCAACTCGAAAACTTTTAAAACCAGATCATGATTTGAAAGCTTATAGCTCCTTTGATATTTCCCAAGGTATTCATGAATCTTTTAATTAGATGTGAATATGAACTTTATAGCACTTCATGTCTATAAATTACAAATTGGTTCAGAAAATGATGTATATTTWAAAAAAATACTTTGCTCTTGAGGCAACTAAAAGAAGGAAAAAACCCAAAAAACTAATGCCACTGATAAGGGCAAAACAATTATTTAGGTAAATGCACATGGGTTATAAATACAATGTTTCCAGATTGAGTTTTCATGATTCAAAGAAGAAACTTTTACTCAAAATAAATTTGTGTTCTTTTTTTTTAAAGTCAAGTATAAAGTTACAAGTTTTTTCAGAGCTTCTTCATGCCTTCTTCCAAAGAAATCAGGCAAGAGTTGTCTCTAAAGATGAAATAAAGAGAGTGGGCAAGAGCACATTACCTTTAATTTCCCAGTCAAGCCACCAACAAACAGCATTGCATTTGCATCCACATCTAGAATGGTGTATCCTGGAGGGGATACTGAGTGGTAGGTGCTGGGCACAATGCTGGCTTTGGGTCCATCCAGGGCTCTCACAGAAATAGATCCATTTCTTCCCGTTCTTTAAGGGTAAGTGTTAAAATAAAGGGGAAGGAAATATAGAAAATAAAATATATATCATATCTCTGTCAACTTTAGATTTCAATAACAAAGTATAGAACACTCTTGTGGAAAATTTTCAGATAAAAGTAGATGTCTAGCTACAAATATTCCAAACTCATTAAATCTCAAATTAACACCCAGAGTCTGATCTTTGTTGGATATTTACAGTCAGATTGAACCAGGACTAGAGAGTCTTATCCTGATTCTGTGTGCCCACTGATACAAAATGACACAGCATCCATTAGTTTATGAAATAGCTATGAGTCAAATGGAAACATTTTTCCTATTGTTTTACATAATTGGTGTTTTCTATGCATTCAACAAATTTATATCAATTCATTTAGCATTTTGTCTAATTTAATTTGGCAAGTGAAACCCAGATGAGCCACCCTTCTGCAGTAGAAGATGCATATTTTTTCCCTAATATTCCTTATAATATTTTGAGTACAAATTTGCTGAGGTAGTCTTCCTGAAATTGTCTTTTAGTTTGCTGCACCATCTTAATSTATATAGTATAATATCTAGTCTTCAGAGTTGTGTATATAAATTATATGGGAGTTCTCTTAAATTCAATTAACAGAATTTTGAAAGCTATTAGCATTTTATTTCATTTTCTTCTTCAAGTGATTRATTTCCATGCATTGTTAAATATGAAAATCTGGTCTCTCTTCTGAGACAAGCAGTCATAACACAACTTCAGTGTCATATTTCTCTCCCTGCTGTCTCATTTTGGTAATCTTTTTATCTTTAAGGGCCAGCTTTAAATGAAATACATGGGAACAAAAGAGTGAATTTAACAATTAAAGTTCTTCTTTAACAGAATGAATCTCTTCTGATAAAAGTGTACTTCGTGAGAATAAATGTCCTAGAACCTGGTAAAATATTTAATCCCTCCATTACTACCACATATGTTAGCACATTCTGTTTTTTTT